CGCCGATTTTCATGCGGTTTTTATTACTTGGGAGCCTTATCTGCCCTCGTCCTTTATAATTTTTTTATCAAAACCAGAACTGCTGAAACTTATTCATTGTAATGAAAAATATCGTGCCAAAAAACAACGTGTTAATTAACTGTAAATTGTATAATTTCTAAGTTATTTTCTATAAGTTAACTATATTTAGGTGTTTGTTTTTTCTTTGTGTAATTAAAACATGTTTTATTTTGTGAAAATATATAAAGTTATTGATAATACATCTGAGAAAGAGGTTCTTTCCGTGACTAAAACTGATCCTTGAAAACCTTTCCGGATTCTTTCCGGATTTTGAAAACAAAATTCCGGATTTTTGACTTTCACATCTGGCATCTCTGCATAAGATATATTTACCAAGTTCAAGAATTGTGTTCGGACTTCTTGATCGAACTGCATCATCGAGTATCTTTCCCTTTTTGTCACCAATATTCATTAGCCATCTTTTGTTCCAAGCGAACTCATCGATTGTATTGATCACACTTTGAACGTTGCCAGGTTGACTCTTCTCGAGAACATATTTCAATAATGCTGAATGCTTTGAGCCCATATTTCACTTTATAGAAGTATTTTATATAATGCGAACTTCATCTTGTTTTCTTTATTTATATGCTATATCATCGTTTATATGCATTGTCATCAAGAATGACTAAGCAGAATATTTGCTTCTTACGTTTTTCCGTTTCTGTCAAAACGAAAGGGTTTGAAATAGTTACCATTTCTTCTCGTTCTTCAATGCAGAAAAAAAGAATCCGACATTGACACAAGCAGAAGAACATATGGCTACACTACTATACTTGCTGGCTTCCAAAAAAATGCACTGTCATAAAAATATGAGCAAAACTTTCTTTAGATTTTTACTAAAAAGTGCACATTCACAGATATTTCATTGTCTCATACGTACACGGTAAAAAGCTTATATTAATAGAAGTCTTTAGAAAATGTTCCGAATCTGAACTAGAATGTTTATCTCAGTGAGAAATCGAGAGTATTGTTTTTTTGTTTATCTAAAAATACATAGAAATTACTGACCGTACACTTTGCTTTCGCCGGCAAAATGTATCGAAATGTACGAAAACCTAACTTTTCACATGAAAAAAAAGAATATAACGTTCATTTTTTTGTTTAATGAGTGCTCCATATTGATCATTCTTAAACAAATTCTACACAAATGTTCAGTTTCATTTCATTATTTGACAAGTGCAGAGAGCAATGAGAGAACACAAATAACTTTATATAACACTTTAAAAAGAATCAATATTTACTGTTTGTCAAATAAAGGGGTGTCAATTTACAGTTAATTTAATTTTAAATTGAATTCTATCAAGTTAAATTTAAGTTTATACTAAATTTTTGTACTGAGAAATCATTTAAGTTTAAATTCTTTAAAATATAAATTTCTGAAAATTTTTTTCTCGATTTATTTAATCATTTTTTTAATTTAAATGTGGCACTCCTAGTCAAATACAATACCATCAACTCAAAATAGCCAGTTTTCTTTATTTTCATCTACATCAGCAGTATTTTCAGTTGAAACGCGTGTTAATGATGGAGATGAAACCGAAAATAATAATTCAAGTTCACTAACAGACATAGATGAATTACACGTATTAATCATATTAACTTCACCAGTAATAGATGAACCACATATTTTTATTAACAACATCAATTTCACTAGCAAAATCTTCTACTTGAACTTGTGGTGATGATGATGTGGATGAGCCTAAAATGGAGATAATAATTCATTTTCACAAGCAACTATAAAGCTAATGAAACCTCACGCTTACGTCAAATTTCATCTATTTTCAGCTGACTATTATTCATAAATTACAGATCTAATCTAAATCAAAATTAGTAAATATCTCGGTATCATCAATTTACAGTTAATTTAATTTTAAATTGAATTCTATCAAGTTAAATTTAAGTTTATACTAAATTTTTGTACTGAGAAATCATTTAAGTTTAAATTCTTTAAAATATAAATTTCTGAAAATTTTTTTCTCGATTTATTTAATCATTTTTTTAATTTAAATGTGGCACTCCTAGTCAAATACAATACCATCAACTCAAAATAGCCAGTTTTCTTTATTTTCATCTACATCAGCAGTATTTTCAGTTGAAACGCGTGTTAATGATGGAGATGAAACCGAAAATAATAATTCAAGTTCACTAACAGACATAGATGAATTACACGTATTAATCATATTAACTTCACCAGTAATAGATGAACCACATATTTTTATTAACAACATCAATTTCACTAGCAAAATCTTCTACTTGAACTTGTGGTGATGATGATGTGGATGAGCCTAAAATGGAGATAATAATTCATTTTCACAAGCAACTATAAAGCTAATGAAACCTCACGCTTACGTCAAATTTCATCTATTTTCAGCTGACTATTATTCATAAATTACAGATCTAATCTAAATCAAAATTAGTAAATATCTCGGTATCAGTATTAATATATTTAAAAACAATTTAAATTGAACTGGAACTATATAGAACTAGACTTACTCTTTCCTTTGTGTATGTGTATCTATATATATCTATATCTAAAGGTAAATGTAAAAATAAATATAAAGACAATTATAGGAAACTGAATTCAGCAAACCATAGAATTGAACGTTAAAGGTTACTCTATCATAATTTATACATAATCTTAATTTAATACTATGCATAGGCATAACTTTCAAGATTAAGATTCAAAAATCAAAATGTACACTTTTTTACCAAAGTGTACAGCCGAGTGTACATCAAGAGTAGCAGATGTTCTGTTCATTTTGCTTCTCCTGTGTACACTTGCTATTGAAAACACTGGTGTTTGGTGTGGGTATTGATTTCATGATTAGGAAGATGCACCCAAACTACATATTTCAGTGACCGATGAAAAATGATATCATACTATTTTCAGCATTAATGTGAGTTTTTCCGAACAAAAAGTTTTGGTTTCCCATTTCTTATTGAACTTTCAAGAATGCCCTTGGTAATTTTTATTAAGGTTATTCAAGTATATAGTGTATACAGATTCGAGTTCATAAGAAACGTAAAGGAACGTATTCTTGCCAATTCGGGGAGAATAACATACATACGTGAGAACTATGCTAAGTATTATCAAAATGTACCTTGATGTATATAGTTTGGGGTATGTCTAAATATTATCATATCACTTTTTAGTCATAAAGTGCTGGAGTAGAAAGAGAAAAAATATAAAGTGACAAATTGTTATACTAATATAAACAAACACATTCACGAAGAAAAATTTAGGCACAGTTGGGTTATAAACTTAATGATGAGTACGATGAGTCTGATAATAAAACATATTTTTTCATGTTTTTCCTTTTCTTCCTCAACCAATAGGTTTAGCAACAAGGTCACTAAGATACATTTACCTATCAGTTAAGGATATTTTCTTTGAGTACAATAAATGTGTTAGTTTTTCAATTTGTTTACTGTTACGTGCTGCTGCATGTGTTGCAACACGCATTTGTTAAGCAATAATTATCTGAAGAATTTTAACTCATAACACATTATAGTCAAATTTCCTATTAGAAAATTTATCTAATTATGCATTTAAGATGTTATACATGTATATTACACTAGTTAATTCATAGTTATTTTATATAAAATAGCCTAATAAAATATTAAACTATGAATAAAACTTATGATTATGACATAGATGAATGAAATATATGCATGCATTTTATACCAATCTTTCTAATCAGTATCAGAGTTAAATTCTAATTGGCAAAGTTTCGATGGACTTTCGTCATTGGGGAAGGGTGCTATTATCGGAACGATTATAAACTTTGCTGAAAAATATATTATATCGGAGAATAAATAATTTCTAATGTTTCGAATAACAGAATCGATTATTATTCACTTATTTATTAAACACAATTAGTTAGAAAAAAGCTGAAAATGTCTTCTTTTTATTTGCAGATTTATCGTTTGCTTTGTAATTCATTTTTCTTACGCTGAATTGCACGATTTCCTGTTACTAGCGTCTATTAGAGTGGAATGAGCAATATTTTGAGTAGATCTAGGTAAATATTATCTGAAATGCTTTCTGATTATCATAGTTAATGCATCAAAACGAAACTTGCAGATCTTGTAAAATGTTGTGTGTATATTATTCTATTGAGATGAATATCTTCGTCAATAATCATAGAAAACTAATTCCAAATTCATAAAAAAAGGAAGAAGTACATAATTTTTTATTTCTTTTTTATTATAAAGTATTGTCTTATAACCGAAAAAACAAATCCTTGAATAGATAGTTATGTAATTTAGTTAAAAATCGGCATATGGACATCAAGGACCAATTGAAATATTGCATTGGACGTTTGCTATCAGCCAAGAGTATCTTTTCTCTTGTATATCGTTACACATTACTGTTGTTAATATTAATAAATATTTTCATGCTTATTTATGTATTTACTTGTGAATATTTTTATGAGCAGATGTCCGCGTGCAACTGTCCTGTAAACAACTGACCTAAATCCAAAAAATCGATCTATTTCAAAACGAAAAAAAACTCTGCTGGATAACTGTCTGTTTGAACGGCATGTGGATATATTTTTTGGGAGACATGTATCGAATCAAACTGGAAATACTGTATTATATTTCGCTTAAATTTTTAGACCAATACATTTAAAAAAAGAGAACTAAGGAAAAATCAAGCATGAATAACAAATGCTTCTAGATTAAAATAGTCTGATACGACAAGTTTTTGTTTCGTTAGTACCGTTATCATGATTAATCGGCGAACAAACTATCCGCGTCACCCTCGTCTTTTGCATCTTTTGCGTCTGTTAATTTTTTTTTACGCTTGACGCTATCTTGTATTTGTTCGTTGAAAAAATGTTTACTAATATACCCCCAGCCTTTACCAATGTAACCCATGGGGCCCATATTTTCATCGTTTTGTAAAATGGTATATGGATGAGGAAGAAACCATGAGATTCCATTTTTACAACACCCACAAGAAAAAAAGGCATTGATGAAAAGATGAAATTGAATTCTCATTATTTCATAATCTGAAAGTAGATTGTATAGTAATAGTGTGCGTGATGATGTTCCTTGTGTCTTCAAAGAAGGAATTTCACCAACCGCCAGACCTATTTTCAAAACAAACAGTATTTGATTTTTTTTTGAAATTATTGCATAATTGATAAAGACAAATGCTATGTTATGACGCTCTCGTCAAATAATATAAACGAAAACATGAAATCCTACTAAGTGTATTATTTACATGAACTCTAGGAACTTTATGAAAGACTAAAGAGTTTGTTTTTCACATTGGTATGAAACATTCTTGACATCGAGTTCTATTAAATTATCTTACCGATTAGCAAGTTGATAACAAATATAGAGAATACGATCGCTGTCAGCATGAATATGACGTATACTAATTTATAATATCCAACACCACCTTGGTCTGGGCTGTATAAACGGCTTTCGTATCCCAAATCGAAGAGCATCAAACTAGTGCGTAATATGGCTTCAATGGGTGTTCCATAAACAGTTTGATTTTGTAATAACATCCAATATGTGAAACCAAAACCACAAATGATGATAATCAATATGGGAAGGAAACGAAGAAATTTAATTGTAATTACTTGAAACATGATTATATAAATCCCCAAACCCAATACCGGAGCTGTTCGAATGTAGACGAGTAAATTTATATAAGTAATAAGAGTACCCATTGCACCTAGCTGATATTGAACTGGACACCGAAAAAGAATATCTTTTTGCCAAGGATACCAATCGAGAACATAAACATAGGTAAGAATAAGCCCCAATATCTCAACATAAGAAGAACCAGTACGGAATACTTTTGGAAATAATGCTGCAATAACGATAACATTTTTCACAATAAAAGATGCCATGACTATATATAGTGCTATACTGATTCTTTTATAATCATCCGTTTTAAACGCTTCATCTGTTCGATTGAAATTATTCAAAAAGAATTTACTCACATTTTCACATGTAGCTAAATCAATTGTCAAATTCATATTAGCTCGATCGTAGAAATATTGTGGATGTTTTCCCTTCAGTATTAATGCAGTCAATAATCCTAGATAAGTCATATAGATAAAAAAAGAAAGAAAGAATAATTTGCCACCGAACGATCGAAGTTTTTCTCTACGCAAAAAAATATTATACGGATGTTGAGTTAGAGAATAAGACTTTGTCTGTAGGCTTGTAATAAACAAAGGATGATTGCGAACAAGCGTATAAGCATCAGTGGTGTATAGGTTTTTTACATTTGAGCGCAGCGTGCCGCGTCCACAACATGATTCACGATTCTCTACTTGGCAACAACACCAGCAACCAAAAATGGCTCCAACACCACGTTTTATACAAAGCATTTCACATGTGTTTGATTCTTCTAATTTACCACCTAAGTGAAATAAGATCTCTTGAAAATATCTGTCGAAGTAAAGTAACTAGATTGCATTTATTTTCTACACAACACTAGTTACAGACTTCGCATTAGAAAGTTTTTCAGAAGTGGCTATTTCGTGAGAAGATGTTTAGTTAGTAACATACACTGTAATTTTTTTCGAAATTCTAGAAAAGCCAAAATGACGTTGAATATTTTCAAGCTATTTTCAAACTTTTATGATTTCTTAGCTGATTTTCTAGTTTTTATGAAATGCTTGATTTTCGTGAAAATATAAATTCAAATTTATTCTACAGTAAAAAGCCTTAGATTGAAAATCAGTAGTGATTTTCAAGAACAACAAAAATCCAGCCTGAATTCGTATAGACTTTTCTAGAATTTGATCCAACTTTCTCTATAATGTATTTTCTACTTTACAGTGTAAACAAATTTAATTAGATCATGATAATCGAAAAATGAAGAAAGCATGCAGTTAAGATGATGCAGTCCGAAATCGTTTCCAAAGTCTGCAGTTTATAAAAGTAGTCATTTTAACCAATAGAATGAAATAGCTCAGTCAGTGACGCACTGTTATTTTTCGAAAGCCATACGGATTCGAAGATGAATTTCTATTATTTAGAAAATCAAGCATTTTCTAAAAGTTTGACATTCACCGACTGAATTTAAGAAGTTTAAAAATGCTTCAGCTTATTTCAAGTCGAGTTTTTACAAGATAGAAATTTAAAAAACAATTAAAGCGTGTTAGAACTTATTTGAATCCCGAGTTCTAGTCGGGCTCTTAGGATTTTGAAATAACTCTAGATTTCCTACAAAGTTAGCTTCGTATTTGTGGCTGATCATATTTGATTCTTTGTTCCCTCGAGTGTCAGATTCATTGAAAAAAAACTGAAATACGAGGCTTGTAAACAGCAAACTTGAATGCTTCAAATATTTAGAAATTACAAATTTATACATAAATAAGTACTATATTGCTCTAGTCAAGAATGATTATAGCTAAACAATTCAATAAAACCTGTATTTCTGGCGCTGTCTACAGTCTAAGGATGAGGTATTTATTTGTAATTGATTCTCGATGATACACATGCGACAGAACCAAGATAATGACCAAGGGGAAACGGCGAACTTGAAGTCTAAAAGTCCGTCGTTTCCCCTTGATAATGGTATTAAAAAGAAAGTAGCCGAAAAACCTCTGTGTTACGTATGATGCAAATTGTCTTTCAGATTCTATTGTTCTCTTAAAAGATTTTCTCATTTTCAATGAGAAACTTCATTTTAATTTCAAGAGAAAATTTATCATGGGATTGTGATATATAATACTCACCCTTAGTGTACCAATCACGAACTTCGTACATATCATCATAAAATTCGTAGTTATAGCTGGTTATGTGCACTTTTTGCCCTGGCCCACCAATAGTATTAGTAAATTTATTTTCAATGGCCCAAACAGCCACATCAGGCATATATCGAATTAGTTTTCGCATGGGCGTATCAAAAGCTTCAGTTTTATCGATAGGTTGAGCATTTCGCATCATATCTCGCCATGAACTCTGATTCAGAAGATTTTTCACAAGCTCTTCATGCTGTTCCATAATAGCAATATCCAAACAATTGTAAGATCGAGCATCTCTCATTGTGGTAGATGCGTGCTCGTCTAGAAGAAACTTAACTATTTCACTATGTCCATTCTCACAAGCTACATGTAAAGGTGTACGCCGACGATCACTAAGCGTATCGACTTCCATGTGCATTTTCTCAATCAGATGCTTGACGATCTCCGTGTGGCCTTGCAAATTAAAATAAAAATAAATGTGGAAACTTCGGATTTCATCCGAGCGTTATGTGTACTGCAAAAAAGTGCATGGGACATGTGAGTCATCCTAGAATGTCTGAACACCAAAATTATCATGAGAAACTAGGCAATTTGGTTTCTAGATTCAGTTTTTGTGCATTTTGAGACCTTTTTCAGTCAATGTTTCGTTAGAAAGCTACGATTTAGTTCAAAACCAATATCAAATTCGGAATCAGCGTTAAAAACTGAGTCGATTCATATATGTTGTGGATAATTCTGAGAAATTTTATTTTTTGAAAAATCCCTGTACTCCCCCTCAGGGATGGTCTGATCAAAAATGACAAGTTTTTCGATAACTCAGCCATTTCTTGACGGATCCTTCTCATCTTCGAACTCGACCTAGATATTGATAAGACAATTCTGTGCACAAAATTTCAGCTCAATAGAATGTAATTGTGAAGAGTTATCGAATAAACGGACGGACGGCCGGCCGGCCGGACACACTGACCGATTCTATAGTGTACTCTTTTTTTTTTGAGTACACAAATAGATGGTGTTCGAATATTACCCATTTTTATCTCGTTCTAATAATATATCTGATTCTCAGTTGGGATAGGTAAATGAAGCCAAAAATTTAAATTTTGTTTTCATTAGTCGAAAAAAGTGAACTCTTACTTACCCTTAGCGGCAGCCCAATGCAGACAAGTAAATCCTTTTGAATCTTGGTTTAACAATTCCGGTGGTATATTTTTTGAATTCGATACTTGTTGCGTGTTCGGAGACGGCGGAAAGATGTATTTCAACAATTCTGTATGCCCATCTTTGCATATCTCATGAAACACCGTTCGATTAGTTAGAAAAACAGAATTTTCACCTGGCTGCATTGAATTCTCTTGCATATGAAGCCATAATTTCTTGAAGACATTTTCATTTTTAGTACGGGTTGCCACAAGTAAGGGTGTGTTATTTTCGACATCAATCCTATATAATAAATCGATTTTGTCTGGATTTCCCAATCTATCCCAGATAGTATTAAATAATTTGACTGAAACACATAGTTTAGCACAGATATGCAGAATATTTTCACCGTCGTTGTTTTCAGCTAGTAAATTGATATTGGGACTCTCTAGCTAGAATGAAAGAAATGTTGATTGAAAGCTGTTCATGAACATCATACTCAGTATAAAGTTTAACTCGATTAACATCGAGAAAAACTGCTATTTCATCATTGTATAGAGGAAAACCTGGACCATTTGATTATCAGTATTTTAGATGTTTGGTATTCAATTATCATAGCAAACATTCATATTCAACATGTAATTACAACTCTCTCTCACACAAGTTTTATTGTTAATGAATGACTTTAAGGAAGAAAAGAGTTCGAAATGAATACTTGCTTTGATCAACCAATCCAAACATTTTTGTGCTTTATAAAATACTGCAGTAAGCAACGGAGTGTACCCAGCGAAGTCAGGTTGACCAATGTATTTTGACAAATTTTTAATTCCTATACCATTGGTAGATACGTTCTAAAACAGATAATAGATTCAGAATCATAAAATGGTCTTTAATCGAAATATTCAAAAAAGAAGTAATTATAAGTACATTCCATGAGAAATAGAGATTTTTGCTGAATAACAACTGCAGTGTGAAAGCTTTAATTAAACTGAAATCAGCAGCGTCAGACAACTTGTATTATTTTATATTAAAATAGTATACACTGAAGGCGAAAGTTTGATAAGTATTCGATGGTGGCTGAGCTTGTTTATGGATCAATGATACATGCAAATTTCTTGACCGCCTCCCTCCTTCAGTGCGACATTTCTCACGTGATAGATACGAGAAAACCTATAATTCTTTTTTGAAAACCAATTAAAGCTTAAGTCTATTGATGTCGCTGAATCGCACTTTTTAATAAAAATTCATTTGAGATGTAAGTAACAAAATAAGATGATTACTGGTTGTATTCACGCTAAAAAGCGTTTCCGCGCTGTGTGAGAAAAATAACGAGCGACTGACAATCATTCGATACTTTAATCATTTTAAATTTGCATCTTGATTCTTTCCATCAAGCGATGCACATCTAGACATGCATTCAACTATATTTTGAAACTGTTGTTTTCAAATAGTAACATCAATTAAATTATTATGAGAAAATTTACAGATAACAACATAGGAAATGTTTTGGATAATCTTTAGAAGTATTTATTCAATGAGTATCCTAAAAGAAGACGTTACTGTTTTCTCTTTCATCTCAAATAAATCATTTTGAATGCAAGTTGACAGTGATTCATAATTATTATTTCTTTGAATATTGAGATATTAATTTGAGATCGATCAGACAGAAGTAGACTTTCACTCTGTTACCCCATTGACATCATCTATCCCAAATGCAATGCACTATGATATTTGTATACTCGCATTATTGGTGTATATCGAAAGTTAAAAATCATTTTTATCTAACTCGATAGTGATACTTTTTGCGCTCATTTCTAGCCGAAATACAAATATTTGAATAATGAAACGCATCGATCGATGGCAAGGGTTTTAAATGATTGCATAACTAAAATATTTTCCGTGTCCGCGCACCAATCACAGATCATAGTAAATTGATTAGTAAAATTATCTAATTATCTATATTTAATTAAAAACAAAAACATAAATTTCTGATTCCACTAATTAAATAAAGAAATTTCATAAGAAAAAATACTTAATTGTCAATAATATTTTTAGCTGTTTTTGAAACAAAAGAATAGAAAGATCGTTATCTTGCTTGATTTTATCGCTAGTTCTCTTATTATTTTCAAACAAATCTTTCCTATGTTCCATATTGAAACATAAAAACCTAGCACGATATTAGCACACATTTGATAATTTTTATAATCTTGAATCGTCTCCCTTCAGTCTTCAATAGTCAAAGAAGACATTGACTAAATAATGAGAACACCGAATTTTCATGAGCCGTAATGGTCTTATGGGTGACATAAATGTACATGTATTCTACATGGAGACTTACCTTGGAGTCTTCTAAGAAAAATTTGAGTAAATCCAGATTGTCATGTTGACAGATAATTTGAAATACTGACGGCAGTACTTTTTCTTGATACTTTTCAAGTCTATCTTTAAACCAATTCAAGCATCCTATAAGGCTTACATTCTCTGGTGGTTCTTTTAAAACAACCATCCGTGCTACCATATCGAGAACAATAGGTAGTTGGTCATCCTCAACAGAACTGAGCATATTCACAAGCTCTTGGGTTACTGCTGAATGGCAAAGAGCGAACGCAAGTGGTGGCCGTCGATCCACTGTGCACTGTTTCACTAGCTCGTGTTTCCCTTGACTAGATTTTTTTTCTTCATCTAGAATGAATTTGACCAAATTTTCCAAATCTTCGGGAGCTTTTGGTGTACCACGAAATAATATAAAGTGTAAGACGTTTGCGCCCAGTTTTGTGCGTGCCTTCAAAAAGAAAAAATTGATTCAAACACTATAGAGACTCACTGCTTTTTCAAATCAATAAATTCCATCTTCAATTCCATCAGTTCGATGAGCAAAATGACTTCACACACAACAAACTGAAAATGTTCTCAACTACATTCATGACGCATTACACCTATGGAAAGTTTTCCGGTGCTCTGTTGTTTCGAAAATTTCTGTTCAAGAATCTTTTTATCCCTTTTTTCAGCAAAAATTATACTCAGAAAGAGGTCTACTCAATGAGCCATTACTAATTAACAAATATTTGGCAGCAGTCTCAAACAAACCATATATATCCGCAGAAATTCAATCCATTTTAACGCAACTAGTAAGACCCTGAAAAGATTTACATGCAAGGGAAATATGATTCCGAAATATTCCCACATAGTTACCATCGATATGTGTGCACACCATCGTTTCATTTATTACACGAACAATGTTGTTTGCATACATGGGAAAGTTTTTTGACTTTAGTTTAATTATGAGTCGACATAGAATGAATAATAGCAAGTACTGGGTAGAATGACATGAAAGTTTTATCCTTATTTAAAATTCAAATCAAGAGCTAATATTATTTGTGAAAATTTTTACAGTGAAGTAAAACTTTTTTCAAAATATTGATAAATTCGATATAATTCTATCAATTTTCTTTGTTAGAGTGAATTCAGAAGTCCAAATGATGTAAAAAGACATGATTTTTTAAAACAATAATCTAAGATAAAATCAATGAAAAATAAATAAAACATTTGGAAAAATGTCTTTCCGACTCTTAGTTTCAATTTATTTTTTCATACTGCGACTCGCATTGAGTTTACATAAACTCAACTGAAATTCTGAACAGTAAGCTATTAATTAGATCAAAATCAATAAATAAACTTGGATTTTTTGGATGTTGTTTTTCTAAGAAAAATTTTAGAAAATTCAAATCGTTTGATGATCTTTACATTAAAATCGATATCATTTGATCTAATCTAATTGGATTTTATTATTTTGAAATTGGAAGCTATTAGGATAGAATATGAAGTTTTTTTCAAGTAATTAAATCTTATTGTGTAAACGGGGAAACTAAAAAGTGACCAACATCGTTCTTTCTCTCTCACATTACAAATACTAAGGATTTCATGAATAAAAATAATTATCAATCTCTCTATCGTTAAGAAACAAATCATAATGATACAAAAATGTATTATACAAAAGGAAAACTAATGAAGACAAAGGAACTATCAAGTTTTTTCATGGTCAACGGAAAAAATTTGTTAAGAGATTTTATTTCTCCGATTTTTTCTGATATAAAGTATCATCTGAAAATCTCAAGTTTATATATCTTTCACTCTGATAGAACTAAACGCGTTGTTTGAAAAACTCACCACACGTTGCAAGCGCATTTACACTACTGTAGTATGAAATCGAATCGAATTACTTTTACCTTGATATCAGCTCCTCGAAATATCAATTCTTTTACATAGTTAAGTCGATTAAATTGTGCGGCTATGTGTAGAGGAGTACGACCCTGATAATCGTCGTCGTTGACATCTGCTCCAAGATTCAGCATTTTGTGAACTATTGGTGGAATGTTAGCATTTTTTACATATGATACAATATGATAAAACTCGTTTTCGCGTATATTTGATTGGAGACCATCATTTTGGTTCTAGAATACGGATAAAATGGCTTATCTCATAATATTGCAAGAGAATACATCCTATTCCGCAATGTTGAACATTCCGGAACCAGTTCCGCTCATGGAACCAGTTCCAAATAATTCCGGAATTCCCGGAATCACTTCGGACACAATTCCAGAATTCAGTGCAGACTCACAGACACCGACAACCACACCAACAACATGCAATTCCGGTACGGAATTCCGGGAATTAGGTCGAACAGGAATTGAACGGAATTACACTGAATTCCTGGAATCGAGCGCACTTATTCCGGAATCGGATGAAGTAATTACGGAATCGACGGAACTGATTCCGTGGGCGGAACTGGTTCCGGAATGTTCAACATTGCAGAATAGGATGACTGCTCTATTGCAATCAAATTACGAATGAATTAAAAACATAGGATCACATATGAATACTATAAAGCATTTTAAAAAGCGTCACATAAGCCTGCCAGATGTGAAATTACTAATGGGCAAAAAAGAAAAGGTATAATTATGGCTTGCGTGATTTAAAATTTTAGTTTTCTCGACTTATCATCTATCAATGCTGATAAGTCAATGAAAAACATGATTTTTATTGTATCTTGAAACCAGCATGATGACTGTATAAGATTTTTATGACAATCTGCTCAGTTTCTTCTCGTTTAGTTGGATATAAAATTCAACAAACTTATCAGAACAAAGGAGCAGAATTTCACTCAAGAAAAGTAGCAATAAGAATCTCGACGGAAACGTCCCGTTTTTAACGAAACTTGACTTTTCGACTTTAGTCGCAACTACATCAAATCAGCTTCAGAAGTATGTGATGCAGTTCATTTAGCCCTGATAGGTATTAGAGGATTTGAAGACCTCGACATTGCTCAGCGCTGATTCAATAATTATTCTTCATTTTCCAACTGAATCGTGTATAACCTAATGACATGAAATCTGTGACGTTCTCTAGTTGAAACAGAAAGCAAAGCGCGTACTTTTTTATCACTTCAATAAATGAAAGATCTACTGTACAATTTTGATTTTTTATGAAAACACTGGATTTAAAGTTAGTTTCTCGTGAGAAAAATGAATTCCGTTGGAGAATAAGAATAATTTTAATGATATGGTTGACTTGAAAATATTTGAACAGTGAAAATTCATGCAATCAAGTATTTATTTATTGAATGATCCTCATACACCTTGTCGAAAAGAATCCACTAACCAGAGGGCAATCTATTTATGGTTCTTTATAACTGAAAGCTGACTTACATGAATTATTTTAATTTCTGTTCTCAGAAAATTCATCATAATTTGATACAAAAGCATTTAGATGGAAAGAAGTCCATAAATAGATCACCGAGTTAGACCAGTTATGACTTTAAATCATACTAGATCCGTAGGTATTGACAACTGTACAAAGAGAGAATTAGGGTTTTAAATATCATAAATATATTGTAAAGAAATGTACTCTGTTGATCACGATGCAAATTAAAGAAAGTGAAATCCATTCCTAAGAAGTTTACGGTACTGATGGGAAACATTTCACTAATGCGTGCAGAACAAAGATAATCTTACATCAGACCAAATCGCCTTCGATCGAGAAGCTATATGTAAAATATTTTCATCGTTTCCATTATTGATATTAATATCTATGTATAGCACAATGAATAGAATCGTTAATTAATTATTGAAAGTCTATTATAAGGGCATACCACATCTGAAACGTTTTTCGTCAGCAGTTAATTTATCGAAAATGAAAATGTTATTGTAGTAGACGGCATAATGAAGCGGTGCCCATTGATTTTCTTCATCCCAATGAGTAATGATTGCTTGGATCTGTACTTCAGAAAGTTTCATCGACTTAACACGGGCAAGAAACGCCTCCCACTTTTTTTCCGCAATTTCTCTTCTTGACCGAGCAGCCTGCAAGAAAATAAAATAATTTCAGTTCAATGATGAATTTCTACATTGAGAAGACACGCAGCAAGTTTTTCGAGAAATACTACATCCAGAAAAGCAGTGTGACTCATTTATAGATCGACCGCATCGCTCTTCTATGTCAAGTTTTACCACCACTAGCATCTCAGGGAATAATGAGTTAAGTACTTTACCGTGGGTCTCAAAAAGATAGATATTTCATGTATGAGTCAGTTTCAAAAACTCTATACTACATTAGAAACATCAATAATGTTGCTTTGATTATTGTGATCTTATGAAAGGCAATTTTTTCAAGAATCAGCTAAATAAAAACGCTGCTTAATTATAATCAATGCTTCGAAGTAGAAATATTCAAATATGAAATAGAACATACAGGAGAGTATAAAAAATATTTAACCGGTAAGAACACCTGAAAAATAATAGTGCACTCAATTTATGGAAGAAGTTTGAAAATAAAAAGTATCACTCTTTATTTTTTCTTCAGTTTAACTGTTATAACTAATGGGATAAAACATCCAGCACCGCATTGGCCGAACTATGGAATATTAGGACAGAATTATCTATAAAGACAAAAATGAACTGAATTAGAACCTGTCTCTGTTCGATAATTAGTTTTTATTTTGCATTATGCAACTGCATTTAGACTATCAATCTTCATCTTTCTTCAATACAATCATCAATTTCAACATCGGCCTCATCGCTAACAACTGTTGAAAGAAATAAACCTAATTTAATTATTTCAATCAGTGATCACCGAGGTCGATGTGTGGACGCGAATTTAATTAAGAAAACACTTGTATATATATTCACACTAATAGCATTGACGACTTCAAGTATGGTGTTATATACTCAGTGAATGCTGGATGGGATAGATGTTCTTTGTAATTCATCATCATTATGTCCTTTAATGCGAATGCCAAATGTTTTCTTTTATTTATTCCCAAACAATTGGTTCAGTCGAAACTAATTGAAGTTTGATTATTTTTTCATTTTTACTCAATCCATTCGTATAGCGATAAATCTTCTTTGTAAACAATCCAAGTATCTATCGAATCATAAGTTTGGATTTTAGAGTCATCTATTTTCACTATCATTTTTACTGAAAAGTCAACAACAATTGATGCAGAGAAGCATTTTATACTGTAGAAATTATCTGGCAAGGCCATTTGCATCAAGGTCATGCTCTGTAAAGAACATTCTTTTTTCAAGAACAAAATAAAAGAAAAATCTTTCTATGAAGAAAAAACCCGGGAAGATTTATCTTCTAAAAAGTTAGGGAAACCATAATTTTGTTCCTTGTGGATGCAAAGGTGTAAGAAAAGACACGATGAAGATTGACACCCTCAGTAACTCTTCTCTGAACACTATGTCATGTTCCTGACCAGTACGCCATCCCTCAAAGAACTTTAGCAGCTCTTTGATAATTATTTTGGCTGTAGCAATAGTACAACATGCGGCAAGTTAGCGAAGAAATCAATTTTATATGCCGGTGTGTTGCCTTATATAATGAATGGTTCACCAACATTACCGATAAATATCTATCCTTCTACACACTTACATGAAGCGCAGAAGTTCTATTTCAGCTACTCTTCAGAAACAATTTTTTATGCAAATAAGTTACTTTACTAATTAAAGTTTAACACTCGTTTTTGGATACAGGAAAGAAGTTTTTGTATACTGTTGAGCTTAATAAAAACAATTTTTCTTCTCATCATCTTTATAGAAAACTCAAAATGAGCAGAGCTAATTTTTGGCCTTGTGCATAAATGTTTCATGGCTCGAACTACAAACTAACAATGATTTATACATAAAATACTGATAAAACTAAACTAAACCGATTTTCTTTTTGAATCTAGGTATCCAAGAAAGTATGCTTGAAAATGAACTCCTGACGTAGTTTATACGAATATTCTACAATATTTCACAACTCAAACTGTGGAAAATCTCATAAGAATCATTCTTCAACAGTTCAAGTTACTAGTAAATAGTAGATATAAATGATCTTCAACTCTTTTTAGTACATCAATTACATTAAGAATATTCATTTCAACTGATTTTCGGTATCAAATTCAAAGAAAATTTGCAATTTCTATTCGATAACGATAAATATGGAAAAAAGTCTCTTTTCAAGAATGATAGTCAAAGTTTTACAAAAGCATTTTCTGGATTTTTATGTGATAAATATGAAATATCGAAAAATCTAATCATCATATACCACTTACACACATGTAACTGTTTCAGGAATAGTTTACGGAAGATTCTTGTCTTACCTCGAAAAGTAACGTTTGTGGTGATTTCCGTGTAGATCCTTCATAATCAGTTATTGGCCAATGATTTAGTGTCTCATTAGAGCTGGGGAAGATTTTTCCAGTTTGTGACATTATTTGGTTGCAAAGTGATTGTATTTCTGATTTTTCTATTTGTCTTGTGTGTAACTTTTCAAATTTCTATTGTATTTTATCGGTTTGATTCGATCAGATTATTCATTTACCGTAAGAAAAAAAATATAAACTTGTCTGAGACTTTTTTCACACTCTGTTTTCTTTAATTTTTATTGCTGTCAAGGCCTGAACACTCCGATGTCTGGTTGAGTTTTTTTGAAACAACAAAAAGCGTCATTAAAATATTAAAACCCAGTCGGGGAAATTGTGAATGAATAAGTTGCAATGCTTAAATTAGTTACAATTTTATAGTCGACATGTTAAAACCTGCAAATTTTAAAGTGTCCAAATGTGTTAGTTCATGTTAGCTAATTACATGTGTTGAGGAAGGTCATTATAATACGATCAATTTAATCTCAACTGCGTGGTCTTAAAATTCACTATTCAAAAAATGGTTAGCAGCTGAGAAAAATACTGCTGTCTATGCTCAATGTATTCAAACGAGTAGAGATCAGATGCTTACTATTAATTCCAGTTTATCGATCAAAATGAATTAAACCTAAAAAGTTTTAGCAAAATATATACAAAAACAACAAAAAAGAAGAAATCCTATCGTGAAAGAGAAACGTTCAAGGCAAATTTCCCACTTGAATAAAATTCATCGCGTTAATGTATCATTAGTTAATGTGTTGCAGACTCAACGAAAGAAATTTGTCAGTGTAATGTGTCGTATTTCAGATAACACTTTATGTTTCTACTAACTATTCAGTCATCATTTTATTTCGTTCATAGATCAGCATAACTCCTGGAATGCATACGCTCACCCTAGTTCACTGTAATCATGATGTACTGCGATTCGCTTTGGAGTAGAGTGAGTCTCATTTTTTTGCCCTTGAAAGAAATTCATTCACGTCATTTCATGAAAAATGATTATCGATAATCTAGTAGCAGATTGTGATAATTTCCATAAAGTGCTTTGAAGTATCTATTAAATTTTTATGAGTAACAGGGTTTTATTCAATGTAAAACATCGTCGGTTGCGAAGTTCTATTAGCCATTCAAGCTCTAACACAGAAGAAAAATGCTGAATTAACATATTTGTTTGTCTATACAGGTCAACAAATACTTGTGCATTTCGATACTTCATATAAAATAATCGCTAATTTATCCCCTAATTTTTAAAGTTTCATTAGTACATTCAATACAAAGCTCATATCATCAATGAAAATTAGTACTGTTAATCATACTCCACATACATATGGCTAAACCGCAATTTATAAATTCCTCGAAGGGCATTATAGTTGAAGTGCCACTTGTAGTTCTTTTGTTCCTTCAGTTGCTTGTATGGTATCTATGCAGCTTGAATGAGAATATTTTAACAAAAAAATACTCCATATTGATTGTCGATGACGAATCGCGCTTTTCTCGTATGTTTATTTATGCATACATAATAAAAAATTGATGTGTAAAAAATAAAACACGAACCATTCTTCAGTTTCTTATACATACATAGTAAAATAATGAAAATTTCTGTTGACATTATCATTAATTAATTTACATTTTTGCTTGAATGCGCAATACATATAGATCAAAAGTTTAGGTCAAATTATAGACTTTTTTCTTGTAACCTCTTTGCATATAATCACCCGTTGGACCTGGAAATGAAATTTCTCTATTAAGACAAGATTCATTTGAGTGTACGACTGTAATTGAAACCGTCAGTAAATACTGAGTGTATAAATAAAAGAGACGAGTTCATCTGCAATCTTGCCCAAAAAAGACGCATCCATTCTATGTCGTATGAATACGATCTGCATAGTTATCGGAGTTGTTAGGTCAGCGAATACTCAGGACTAGAGTCTACCCTATGCTAAAATTCTTCTTTCGCCTACGAAATCAACATAGTGGTGGCAGTCACAAAATAGAATTTGCTATTGGGAATTACTGCTGATTTAAATTTGACTGACGCACTTAACCCACGCCCTTTATTGATTTTTTTCAAAGACAAATTGTAAAAGAATTTAATCGTAGCTCTGCCAAATTTTCTACCAACACGTAGTATTTTAGCTATAAGTCTACTTTATTGAATACAATAAATAAATACTTTTTTGCATTTATAATTCCTAAAGAAACAAATCTTTCATGTATGTATTTTTTCACGATTCAATGAATTGTTTTCAATGATTCTGTCAATATTTTGGATTGTGAGCTCCTTGTATACATTGAATATATCATAACATTGAATTATGAAACTAATCTTTTGAAAGTGTTTAAATCGCGATGGAAGATTCGATCTAACTTGAATGTTTAATTCTTTTGTCCAATAATAGAAATACCTTGCATGTGCTATTTTTGCCATTCTTAAGAACTGTTTTAATGATCAGTGATTAGGCTTAGTTCAGCTTTGATCCCAAAATTATATCGAACATAGAAATCATCCAACCAAAAATTGAATATCCTCAAGTCAAATTGAGCTTCGGACATTGATTGAAGTTAAGCAAATGGTATTCACACTTTTCCTTAGAACTTTTTGAGCCATCAAGTATGTATGATGTCGTTGAGAGATAACCTGTGATACTTTAATACTCAAACAAATTACAATTTCCTATTGAGATAAATGAACCATCAAGACTTGCCGTTATTCGATTTCAATTGTTTACGCGTATAGTAAATTCTTGTTTTTACTGAGTCAATAACTTCTCCTTTATTTTGTTCATGACACTTAAAAATAAGTTGATTAATGTAATACGAAAAAAAAGAACAAAAACAGAGTAATTATTGAAAGATAAAATAACATGTTTTTCCGCAGAAAAGGAAACAACGATTTTCCAATAATAAACACACAACAACATAGTGAAAATAAATCTTTTAACTATACAATAAAAACAATTTTAAATAAATACATCTAAATGTATACAAAAACTGAAATTAAAAAATGAAATAGAAAAACATCTGCAGCTTTAATTATTCTGATTAATTTGATTCGTGAGAAGAAATGATATCAATGCTGCTTTTTGCGCATCTAATGCTTCAAGTTGTTGCAAATAATGTAATTGATCTGCTGGTGTTATGGTCGATGAAGCTAAACAAAATAGCAAAGAAAAATGTAAGAAAACAGAAACGAATTGTATTTTACCAAGAACAGCAATGACATTTCTTGTCACACAACGGAATGCATTTTGTAAATGAATAATGATTGAATTTCGTTGAGCAATAATTGTACAACGTTCAAATGAATCTTCTACAGCCATTTGAATTATTTCATAATACGCTTTACGTTGGCGAGCAACCTAAATTTCTGATGTAGTAAATAATTATCTCTAAGTTGCAAATGACTTACTACACATAATGACTGAATTAATTGAGCATATTCTTTATGATAGTTTTTCATCTAAATAAAAGCAAAACTGAAGATTTATATATTCACCATTATGATAAACTTACAGCAAAAGCAATCAATACGTTGGTTAACAATTCTCTACCACAGTAGAATAATAATTCAGCGACATATTCAGATTTCCAGGATACTGGTTGAGCTAGAATCGAGATAAATAGATTCGTTTGATTTTCATATTGAACGTGTGTCATTACCGATAAGCTCATTTAATAGAGCAAGTTTACTGTTACTGTTCCATGCTTTTTGAGCATGTGCTGATCGGTTGAGTACATTGAAAGCACGACTTAAATCAAAATAAGCTTGTTCTTCGTCAACATTCGGATAGATAAGAAAATCCGACCGATCACGAGAAAATTTTTCCCAATCGATTTTATCTGAAATTAAAATTAAATAAACTCAATTAGTTCTTCGTTTTGATTCTCTTACTTAATGACATCGGTCCAAATAGTAAATAGATAAGTCGAGCTTGAAACCAAATCGGTTGTTTATACAGAATTACATTTAATAGACAACCACGATGGGCATAAAGTCGAATCGAATCAAAATAAACCAAACGAAAACACGAACGTATTGATTGTTCAAGTTGAGTTTCAACACCGACTAATGAATAGAAAAACAAAAAGAAAGGTGAAAATAATACTGAGATGACGAATAGCATACCATGTTCACATGAATAAAATCGATCGATTTTTTTTTGTAATTGTAAATGAGAATCTAATTGAGAAAATGCCCAAGCAATTTCTCGTTCAGACCAATGTCTTGTTGCTTCACCAAAAAATCGACCAATACGAGATAAATCTTCCATACAAGAGCCATCATCCGATAAATTCAACTAAAGAAAAAGGCCTTACTTTATTTCCTGGATCGTCCACACAATGACTTACCTTGTTAAAAAGTACTTCTTTAATCATTTGTATACGACGTACAAGCGGTAATAGACTTGTCATTAATCCATACAATCGACCTAATTATAATTCTTGTTAATATTAAAAGTTTACTTTATTTTCTCTTACCAAGATTTTCCCAGGCGCCAGATCGACGACGATCTGGTGTTATTTGCAATACAAATTGAATATAACGAGTACCCATCGATGATCGTAGAAAATTTAATACAATAGAAAAATATTCATTACTCGTACTGGCTAATTGATGAAGTTCATATGCTAAGAATGGAAGAAGAAAAACTAGAACTTCATATTGTCTATGAATTAGGGACTCACGAGATAATTTTAATAAAATTAAATCACGCATTTCAATTGGTATTTGACTTAGATAACATAGATTAGCTGGAATCATGGATTGCTTAACATTAAACGGCCTAGCAAAGAAGAAAAACTTGATAAAATCAGATTGCTTGTGTTTTTCCCCAAAAACTTACGTAAGTTGTAAAAAACGTTTTTTCTTTGGTGATGATGATGACACTGCATCAGTGATAGAAAAATATTTACGTTTCCCGATACTCATCATGTTGGTAATGAAGAAACGATCGATCGCGCTTGAATTTTTCGACTTGGGCGGAAACCGTTTTACAATAGTCGAAAATGTTCATAAAACTTTCTTCGTTGGAAATCACACGAAAATTATTTTAGTAAAATAAATATTACTTTTCATTCATTAAAATAATAAATTTTAATAAATATAATTTTAAAAAAAATCGATGTTTTCGGCCTAGGTGTCGCTAGTTAATAGCTGATCAGTGCGCATCCAATCGGATGCGTAATGTTGCTCGTAAATAAGTAAAAATACTATGAAAAATAAAATAAAATAGATGTTCTTGCGATCATGTTGTAAATAATTCTCATGTTAAATATAGAATGTTTAGAGTTGATGAAAATAAAATATTTATTGGTTTCTCTCGTATGACATATGTGTTTAACAAATACATCGGTGATCATGACCAATTCATCATCTTTAACTAATAAAAATGATGAAATTTTACATGTACTTTATGATTATACAAGCAAAGAAGCAGACGAATTAACATTAAAGTAGGAAAAAGAAACAATTTATGAAGAAAAGAAAATATTTTGTTTGTATATTTTTCAAGACGTGGAAGCATAGTAGCAGTTTTATCTAAAGATGAAAATATCTCAGGTTCGAAAGGATGGTGGACTGGTCGACTTCTGGACTCTGAATCTGTCGGTATTTTTCCTGCAAATTTTGTTGCTAGTTCCGAACCAAATTTACGTATTATTGATGAAAAAGAATTACAAATTGGAAATTTAATTGGTATTGGTGGTTTTGGGTAAGAACATTAATCGAGAATGTTTCGCCGAATTTTTACTCACTAAATTAACAAAAATGTCTGCGAACAGAAAAGAAACAATTGAAATATTTTTTCTTATCAATACTTACAGCTTCTTTTGCAAATTCACTTTCTCTCTGTTTTAGCCATGTTCATCATGGAAAATTTGGTGATGTCGACATAGCAATAAAAACAGCAAAATCGTTAACTTCATTTAGTTCCACTGAGTCCCGGATATCAAATCCATCCAATGACGATGAATCAGCAAATGCTGCACAAAAATCCCTAGTTGATGGTCTCCTACGTGAAGCACGTCTTTTTGCTAATCTTAGACATGCAAATATTATTCAATTGTTTGGTGTAAGTCCATCGGTATCAACAAGAAGTCTGTATCTTGTTATGGAATATGCACACGGTGGAGCTTTAGATCATCTACTTCAACGAAGAAAATGTGGCTTATACCCGAATGTATTTATTCAATATGCTAAACAAATTGCTGATGGAATGAGATATTTACACGAAGAAGGGACAGAACATATCATCCATCGAGATTTAAAATGTTCAAATAGTTAGTTGAAAAGAAAAATTTTCAGATTGATTGACATAATCTTTTCTTTTGTTTAGTTCTCATTCTAGAAGCGATTCAAGATATCCATAATGACAATGAACTTTTATATAAAACATTGAAAATTACAGATTTCGGTCTTGCTAAAAAACAAATACAATCGTCAAGCATGTCAGCGGCTGGTACATTTCCATGGATGAGTCCAGAATGTATTCGAAGTAATGAATTTTCGACAAAGTCGGATGTTTGGAGGTAATGAAAATTCAGAAAAGTACTCAAAACTTGCAAATTGATGATCTTGTCAAATAAATTTAACGAGAAGTTAACACAACTAAGAATAGGCATCTGAGTTATGAAATGACAGGCTATGTAAATTCTTATATAATGCAACACATCTTTGCCTTATGCCTAAGGTGGTTGAATCTAGGTCTCGGATGAAAATACTGATGTCATTCTATTGGTAATTTTTAGTTTTGGTGTGCTTCTTTGGGAATGTCTTACTGGTGAAATTCCGTATAAAGGTTTTGATCAAATGCAAGTTGCTTTTGGCATTGCAACTAATAAATATTCATTACCTATTCCAAGTACATGCCCTGAAGAATTTTCACAATTAATGAAAGGTCAACTATCAAATCTTGATTTTGCCATATTTATATGATTATAATTTTAGATTGTTGGCAACCTTTACCACAAGATCGACCAACATTTACTCAATTATATGAACAAATTAATCGTATAATTGACACTAACTATGCGCCTAATAAAATAAATAATATGGAACCTAATGAAGAAACTTATTTTTCCTTGCAGCAAGATTGGCGTAAAGAAATTCAAGATATATTTGAAGAATTAAAAATTAAAGAACAAGTTAGCAAAGAAAACTTCAACGATACAATTCTAGTATTTTATTTTTATTTTTAGGAAATTCGTGATCGTGAACAAGAAATGATTCGATTGACTATTGAACAAAATCATCAACGTATGGTGTTGGAAAAGTGGGAACATGATTTGCACGAACGTGAAATGCACATCAGCGAACGAGAATTTCGATTATTAGAGTCAAATAATATTCAAGATCGTCTCAATCAACAAACACCTAAAGTACAAAAACGTTCCGGGCATTTTGTTCGTTCACTTCTACATGCAACATTTAACGGAAGTGCTACTCTGTCGTCCACAACGGCTTCGAATTTGATTAGTGGTCCAACAAGTTTGTTTGAACGAAATTTTCTGTCTCATTGTCGATAAATATTTCTATGATATTCTCTAGATTTTCGTCATTTAGCAAGAATCCATCCTGACAGTGACCCAAACAATCTTCATCATCATTATTTCCCAGCTATTGACTATGATCCAGCATCACATACAGGACAAATGTCACCTCTAACTAATAAACCAATTTTTCGAAATACAACAAAAAAGCACTCAGATTGTCAAATTAGCAAAAGTACGCCAAGCACACCAAATTTAAGTCGGCTTCGCACATTGACTTGTACGTATTTAATTTGATTGTTTGTTATGCGATGAAATAATTTTTATCGATAAGAAGTTAAATCAATAGGACGTGTGTTTGTAAGTTAGAGTGATTCTATATTTTTAGCAAGTGATGATCTTATTATAAATGAGATTGATGATGAAGCATTTTTACTAAACAATGATGGTAAGAACGAAATTCGTAACGGAAGCTTTTTTTCTAATACTGATTCGCCGCAATATCACTGCATACGTATATTTTTGAAATCATTTATCTGCAAGAGAGAGCAGTCTTGGCATAGCTTTCTATCACTGTCTCGACCTTACAGCATATGTAGATTTATTATAGGTGAAACGCTTAACTATTAAAAATTCAATAATATTTTCTTAATTTGCATGTTACTCATTTATTGATAATATAATAAAGCTTTTAAAATTATAGAGACCAATGATTTTGTTGTAGTTAAGACGCTATAAAAAGAAATCTATCATTTTTAGTGCATTATCCAGCTGAATCTGATGATTTCGATGATAATACAAATGAAAAATCGACTCGTTCTTCATCAGTTGGTCAAGCTAAACTATCACCAGGAACACTGTCACATTTACGCTGGCGTAAACCTAAGGCATGTACAGGTCCATCGTCGTCAACAATAAAACGAAAGCATGTAAAAAGCAATGCACGTCTTGGTAAACCTAAGTGGTATTTAGATACTTCACCATCGAGAAATTCAAATAGTAATAATAATGATGATGATTCTACAACAATTTCAAGTACAAAATCAACTCCTACCATTGATCGATCAGCACAAAAATTAGGTAAATGAAGAAAATAAAAATGAATCTGTCTGTTTGTTTTTGTTCTCGATTTTAATTACATAATTGATTTTCTTCTAGCTTTAGAAAATCCCAGTGACATAAGTAAGCTTTGATTAAATAAATTCTCTCAGCTAATAATCTGCATTTTTATCTTCATTCTAATAATTATTTATACAGAAACAAACAATCATTGTTGAAAAAAGAAACTTTGTACGCAAGATTTCTTTTTTTTTCTATTTATTAGGCAACTTCTTAATGCATAGCTATAGGATAGTATTCATTAACACTTCGATTTTAGTTTCTTCTTCTTTAGTTTAGTGAATTGCTGATTCGAAGCACATATCAGAAATCTACATATAGTATCCATTTCAAAAAAATGTAAATATTGATCAGCATGAATGTCTAATTGTGAATTCTCGTTTCGATAGTCGCCATTCAGTTCCAAAGGCACGTGATGGTCTCTGAAGATTTTGATATACGTATTGAGAGGCCTGTTTTAACGATGGTTACATGAATTCAAACAGTTTAGCTTGTCTAGATGCAATTTTACTGTCACTACTATCTTGCTGATGAATAGAATATATTTTTTGAAATGGATTGTCAATTTGCTTATGGTGCACTTCAATTTTCATTATTATTTTTGATTAAGTTGAAACATTTTTAATGCGCCAACTCTTTTCTTTTCTACTCATAGGTTCCTCTTCTTCTTCGACCTGTTCAACACCCAATGATCGTTCATTAGCACGTGGTATTTTTGATATTAATTCAGTGTTAATGGCAATTGGACTTGGTCATCGTACACCTGCTCGATTGAATTCGTCACCATTGATTTCCTCTTCCACCTCGTCTTCAGTCACAACAATACCCAAAACTCTTAATCAACCTATGCTTCGTTCAGCAAGTGAAGTAACAAATAAGCAAGCATCTTCGACTAGTACAACTCCATCTCCAGCAACTAAAAAACAACATAAACGAACTTGTTCAACGCCTCTAACAGATACTCTTGTTCCAACAAATGGGTATATCAATGTAGCTTATCAACCACGACCCTCTGGTTCATTGATTCGACCAAATTCTCGTATCATATCTTCTAAACCATCACATTCATCATCAACAAGGATAAACATAAGTCAATCTGATTCACATTTAGTTAATAGCCATTTGAATCATAGAAATCCAGCCACCACCACCACAACAACAAACAACGTACCACAAGGAAAGGAAACTATGGCACACCGTACTAGTGAAAGATTTTATTTAACGCAATCATCTGAAATACATACACATATGGTACCATCCATTGCTTCATCATCGAATATGTCGGCTTCTCAACCACAGTTACATTTTTCTTCTATACTTGACATTGATAGTGAAGAACAAAGAAAACATAGAGCTCAAGTTTTAGCACCAAAAACTGATCGAAAAAATTAAATAGCTCATATCGAACTCTTGAAGGAGGTTGTCTTAATTGAAAGATTTCTTGGTTTTTTTTCTTTTTATCAAGTTTTTCCTTTTCTTTTCTTTTCTTTTCTTTTAGCTTTTCTTTTTTCCCTCTCCTGTTAAACACATACAAGTCTATAGTGCCATTTCTAAATTGTATTAATATGTATGCTCATGCCTGTGTGTTCTTTGACTCTTTTGTATTTGCACGTATTTATATGTTCACAGAAAATTATTCTATTTTGGCTTTTTTTGTTTGAAGAAAAAAACAGCAGGACTAGTGTATTTGTTGGATGACTAAAGTTTTTCTTTTTTTGTACCATATTTTTTGTTCATGAAAACACATTATTTATGTCTCTTACTGTCGTGTATATAACTGGAACAGAAAAAAAACGAACTAAATTGAAGTATTCATGGTATTGAAAATCATTTTTCTTCTTCTACCACTGAAATCATTATGGCATACAAATATATTGAACACTTTCAAATGCTAGATTTCATTTTCATATTAGTTTTCTATATAATAGTGGCTGCTCTAATATTCATTTAGATTTTAGATTGCATCGAACAATCCAGGGTACGGTTGTGAAGGCCAGACGAACAATTACTCGCACCCTACACTCGAGAAAGAAACCTCCGTTTTAATTTTAACTAGTCAACGATCAATATTCTTGTATCTTGTTGTTTCCGAATTTCGTTTTAGTCAGAAAATCGTTTATTAGTGTAAAACAACTTGAACAAAAAACTAAAGTTTGCACGTATATAGGTATTTCTTTGTTTTTCTGCCACTCAAAAGCAAATATATATTTGGATATTTATGATTTTATGCCGTATTCTCCATTAATGGCACGTCCAATAAGAAGTCGTCGAACTTCACTTGTACCAGCACCGATTTCGTACAATTTAGCGTCGCGCAAAAGACGACTTGTTGGATAATCATTAATATATCCGTTGCCACCAAGTACTTGTATACCATCAAGACACAATTGTGTAGCTTTTTCAGCACAATATAATATAACACCAGCGCAATCCTAAACAAAATATATAAGATACTATTATTTGAACAGGGAATTCTTCATACTAGTGTACCTTTTTACTTGTAATATTTTTATCGACAGCTCGTGCTGTTGTATACAAATAAGAACGGCAAGCATTTAATGTTGTATACATATCAGCCATTTTGGCTTGGATTAACTAGAAATTATTTTAAATTAGCGCATAAGTAGAAAAATGGACTACCGTACTTGATATGTACCAATTGGATTGCCAAATTGTTTGCGAGAATGAGCATAATCAAATGTAATATCACAACAAGCTTGCATTAAACTAAAGAAAGTTTGGTATGAATATTAAAAACAGAAATCTCATATAGTTCTCGAGAATAATGTATTCCATAGAAAATTACTTTAATTGATCATTTCTATTTGTAGATTTATTTTTTTAACCTGCATTTATTATACAATTGATGAGAAGCTTCTTTCTTGTTTTCGAAACTTTTACGCTTAACTTTAAAGAAATTCTAGAAGTTAAAAGGGAGCTATTTCTCTTTTTGTTTTTAGATACTCATTACATTGATATGCTGGAAGAGATCAAGATCTTACCCAACAGGGCCAGCTGCGAGTACAAGACGTTCAAAATCTAAGCCACTCATCAGTACATAAACACCACGATTTACTTGACCAAGTAAATTTTTAGCTATAAAAAATTAATTATCAACATGTGGTGATTCTCTATGCATGTATATCTTTGTTTTTACCTGGAATTTTACAATCTTCAAATATAAGTTCACATGTATTGGATCCACGCATACCCATTTTATCAAGTTTTTTTCCGCTCGAAAAGCCTTCCATGCCCTAGAAATATTTGAAATTACTCGATGGCATATTGATTTCAAGAAGTGTCTCTACCTTTTCAACGATAAATGCCGATATACCATGTTGAGGTTTTTCACTGGTTGGATTTGTTTTTGCATAAACGACAAGTACATCTGCATCTGGTCCATTTGTAATCCAGAATTTATTTCCATTGAGAACGTAGTAATCACCTTGACAAAAGAAAACGACAGTTGCAATGAAATATTCATTTTCTTCTCAAAAAAGGTTCACATAACTTTCGATTTGTTTTAATTCCTTAATTTACGAAATTTCATGATAAACATAATTTACACTTGAAAGTGATTAGTTGCAGCCATGAATCACAAACAAATTGAATAAACGAATTATCTACTTCTTCATCTTTCGTGCTAGCACACGTATACGAAAAAGAATGTACTGTTAAACTTTGAAGAATAGGATTCAACAGTCGAAACTCTTCACCACGATTAAATAACTAGATACCAAACTGAGGAGTAAGAAAAACAAAAGCTCGCTTAATTATTTTGCTTGTCATCATGTGAATATACAGAGAAAAATGGTACTAGGGTTAAAATAAATATTAGCAACTTATTTATTGGATAACAAATCGATATCAACGCTACTATTAGAAATTTCTACAAATAAACTCTATAGAATATATGTAAAGAAGATTGAAAAACATTGTCTAGAATGAAATAAGCAACGCGATGTAATTTCAATATAGCTAGTTAATTATCATTAAGTTCGGACTTTTCTTCGTTAAGATCAGATGGTGGTGGTATACGTTCCACTGCTAGTGAACGTGTCGACTCCTTATCTTTTGATTCAAAACATGGTGACATAGATTTCTTCTGAGTAGCTGATGATGGTGAACTTGAACTATCTTCAGACGTTAAAATATTGCTTGAGTTCAACTCTAGTTTTGTCGGAAAATTTTCTGATTCAATTTTCAATGTCGTAGGAATATTACACGATATTGGCTTGTGTTCAGCTGATAGAGGAGATAATGGACTTCTATCTGGTGTGATGTTGCTAACCGCACTGGATTTATGTAGTGATTGCAAAGGGGACGATGGAACTTCGTCCAGTGCGACATCGCTAACCAATTTCGATGTCTGTTCTGTTGATAGAGGAGGTGATGAGCTTATCTCTTGCGGTGACATGTTACTTGATTTGGGTCTATGTTGAACTGAACCAGGAGGCGACGGACTTCTCTCTACTGTGATGTCGCTAAGCACACCGGATTTTTGTAGAGTTTCCAAACATGATATAACTTTGTTTAGTGTCGCAAGACTACTAGATCTTGCTCTGTGCTCAACTTCAGCAGCAGGTGACAGTATTTTCTCTGACAATTCGTTAGTAGCAGATCTCGATTTGTGTTCTGTTGAAACAGAACACGATGGATTTCTATCCGGTGTTCCAGTGCTCGACGTTTTGGACTTGTGTCCTACCGAGGCAGGAGTTGAGGCCATTTTCTCGTCCCGTGCGTTGCCACTCGATTTGGACCCATGCTGTGAAGCACCAGGAGGCGACGGACTTCTCTCAGGTGTGAAGTCGCTAAGCGCACCGGGTATTTGTAGTGATTCCAAACACGACAAAACTTTGCTTAGCGTCGCAAAACTACTAGATCTTCCTTTGTCCTCCGTTGTAGGAGTAAGGGCCGTTGTTTTCTCTGATAATTCGTTAGTAGCAGATCTCGATTTGTGTTCTGTTGAAACAGGAGACGATAGACGTTCTTCTGGTGGTGATATGCTACTTGATTCTGCTCTGTGCTGTATTGAAGCAGCAGGTGATGGATTTCCAACTGGTGTTGGGATTCTAGACGTTTTGGATTTGTGTCCTACTGAGTCAGGAGGTGACGAAATTTTCTCTTCCGATGAGATCCGACTTGATTTGGATGCAGATTGCAATAAACTAGCCGGTGACGGACTTCTCTCCGGCGTAAAGTTGTCAAGTCCCCCCGATTCTTGCAGTGACTGCAAAGTGGAAGAAACTGCGTTCAGGGTGGCAAGACTACCAGATCTTGATTTGGGTTCAGCTGAAACAGGAGATGACGGACTTTCGTTTTGTGGTGAAATGCTAGACGTTTTGGACTTGTGTCCTACTGACGCAACGGGTGATGGGCTTTTCTCTTCCGGTGAGTTCCGAATTGATTTGGACACAGATTGTAATAAGGCAGAAGGTGATGGACTTCTCTCCGGCGTGATGTAGCCAGGTACTACAGATTCTTGTAGTGATTCCAAAGGCAGCGATGGTTCTTCGCCAAGCGTTACAGGGCTAACGAGTTTCGGTGTGTGTTCAGTTGAAACAGGAGTTGATGCGCCTGTCTCTTGTGGTGTATTGCTAGACGTTTTGGACTTGTGTCCTACTGAGTCAGGAGTTGATGGGTTTTTCTCTTCCGGTGAGTTCCGATTTGATTTAGATGCAGATTGTAATATAGCAGGAGGTGACGAACTTCTCTCCGCGGTGATGTAGCCATGTGCCCCAGATTGTTGTAGTGATTCCAAAGGCAGCGATGATTCTTCGTCAAGTGTTACAGGACTAACGAGTTTCGATGTGTGTTTGGTTAAAACAGGAGTTGATGGCCTTTTGTCTTGTGGTGAATTGCTTGCCATTATCGACCTGTGTCCTACTGATGCAGCGGGTGATGGACCTTTCTCTTGTAGTGAATTGCTCGACGTTTCCGACTTGTGTCCTACTGATGCAGGGGTTGATGGACGTTTCTCTTGCGATGAGTTGTGATTCGATTGGATTGTACGTTGTATTAAAGCTGGAGGGGACGGACTTCTTTCCAGCGTGATGTAGCCAGGTACTACAGATTGTTGGAATGATTGCAAAGTGGAAGAAACTTCGTTTAATGTGCCAAGACTACCAGATATTGATTTGTGTTCAGTGGAACCAGGAGGTGATGGACTTTTTTCGTGTGGTGAAATGCTACTTGATTTTGATCGGTGTTGTATTGAAACAGGAGGTGATGTTTTTCCATTCGGTGTTGCGCCGGTAGACGTTTTGGACTTGTGTCCTACTGATACAGGAGGTGAGGGACCTTTCTCTTGTGGTGAGTTGGGACTCGATTTTATTCTGCGTTGTAATAAAGCAGGAGGCGACGTAATTCGCTCCGGTGTGATGTTGATAAGTTCCCCAGATCCTTGTAATGATTTCATGGGAGTGGGCGGACCTTTGTCAAGGTTGTCAATGCTAACGAATTTCGATGTGTGTTCTGCTGGTAGAGAAGGTGATGGACTTCTTTCTTGGGAGGAAATGCTACTCGATTTCGATCTATGTTGTATTGAAACAGGAGGCGATGGTTTTTTATCTGGTGTTGCAATGGTGGGCGTTTTTGGCTTGTTTCCTAGTGAGGTAGGAGCTGATGAAAGTTTCTCTTGCGGTGAGTTACGACTCGATTTTTGTGTACGTGGTAATAAAGCAGGAGGCGGCGGACTTCCCTCTGATGTTGAAATGCTGGGTGTCCTGGATTTTTGTAGTGATTGGAAAGAAGGTGATAGAGTTGTTGTTAGCGTGGTAGGACTACCGGATGTTGATTTATGCTCAGTGGAAACATGGGGCGATGGACTTCTTTCCGGTGTTGATATGCTGGCTATTCTGGGTTGGTACCCTTGTTTGGTACGAGGAGATGAGATTTTTTGCAGTGTTACAGTGGTAGCTGGTCTTTGTTTATACTCTGTTGAGACTGGAAGTGATGGAGTTTCTTCTTCTAGTGAATTGGTGGTCGGTCTAGATTGTTGTGGGGTATTTGAAGCAGCTGTTTGAATATTTGGTAATGTTATGTGCAAGGGAGGTTGCCTAGATTTGTGCTCTGGCAAGAAAGATGATCGCAAAGACTGTTCCGATATTGTTATAGCAGTTGGTTTCTCTTTTTGTTCGATGTGTATTTGCGGTGATGGGCTTCTTTCGAGCGCTGAAATACTAGACTTTCTTGATTGATCTTCTGTAGGAGAAAATGAATTCGAATTTTCATTCGATGCTTCAGAAAAGGATAAGTGATGTTTGTGTCTGGTTTTCGAAGAAGGGGTATGAATTCGTTCTGTAATTTGAGGACTTGTCGATCTTTCTTTTCTTGATGTACTGAATGTGTTAGATTCTCGATCGATGTGTACTAGTGGTGTTGATTGTTTTGCGTGATGACGATGATACGAGTTATTCTCTTCATGTGATCGATATCGGTGGTGATTTTTATCGTATTGGACATGACGTGATGGTGGTGACGTTGTTGTATTACGTTTTTTAACCAGTTTCAACTTTTTACTATTCAAATAGCTGGCTAATCGAGGATGTTTTTCTAAGCAACAACGCGCTATGAGTAATTTACAGTAATTAGTAAGTAATTTTGGATCAATGTCAAGTAAATAAGTAATTGTTTGATAGACAACTAGATCAGCTATTGAAATTTGACAACCCAAATAGAATGGACCTTGAGGATAATGTAGTATTTGATCGATATTTTCCAATTGATTTAAAAAATCTGCTACATGATCAGCAAGAAATTGTGTTAAATTTGTTTTCTGTTGTTCAATGGTCGTAGGATTGTTCATTTGTTCAAATAATTTTTCTTGAAATCGACGTGTTAATTCAAGAACAATATCAACAATCGTATGTTCACAATTTCCTGTGCCATATAAATTAAATTCTCTTGCTAAAAAACGAATTATTGCATTGCGATCATAGACTTTAAATTCACTATTAACACGTAAAATAGGTAATTGTTGTATAGGTATTCGATCTTTAACTTTATCCCATGATTTTTGTTTCAGACGTTTCTCGCTGAATGAAACACCGACAAAAGTAAATACAAGTCGTATTATATCACTCTCATTGTTTCGATCAAAATCGTACAATTTGTATAATGGATAATTTGTATCATTATATTCGTTCATTGTCTGCTGACAGCGTTGTTGTGGCCGTTGTCGCTGTTGGGGTTGAGGATGGTATGATGGACCATGATAAAAATGCAATGGAATTTGTTGCATAGGTGAATGTTCTTGTTTCTAATTATTTAGAAAATCGACGATTACTGGCGACTTGTAATTTGGCGGATAGGAGCCTGTACTATTTCTTATCATCCTATTTCTTGTTCTTATATGCGCAACATATATGTTTAATTATAGTATGAAATTGATAACTTAATGAGGCGTCTCGTTTCAATACGCGCACTACTCATTAAAAAGAAATTTCTGAGACGCCCTTTAATAGATATTGTTGTGTGAATATGTATAAAAGAATCAAAATGATATTAGACTAATTAGAATGAAAAAGCATATTCATTTCATATTGTTTCGAAAAAAAACTCTGAAGAGCAGACTTGTCATTATTTGCCATAATCAAAAAGAAAAAAGTTTGAAATCAAGGACGATGTCGCAAACTGTGGTCAGTTGCGCTCTCTTAAATAAAACGACAAAAAAAAGTATCAATAAAACACCTAGAGAAACTTTCATTCAGTTTGAGTACTTCCTAGGACCAAAACAGTTTTTATCTCATACGCATCATCTTATAGCTAACCTTTTTTCTCGGCACGGGTTCTCATCGAAACAACATCAGAGCCTGACGTGGGTTCAGACATGGCCAAGGCGCCAAAATGTTCACCGCTAATAAGCTGCAGAAAAGAACAAATAAACGAATCTGTTTTGTTTTAATAATTATTATCCACTAACTTTTGGTAAATAGTGATGCTTTTGTGCATCATTACCATTACGAACAAGTTGATTAACGCAAAGATTTGAATGTGCACCATAACTTAAGGCAATACCTCCACTTGCTCGTGAAATTTCTTCCATAGCAATACAATGTTCGGTATAATGCAAACCCAAACCACCATATTCAACTAAAATACATAAACAGATATTACCGATTGCTAACTGACAACTGTAGACAGTTGTATTTTAATAATAAAATAATCGAGTACAGAAGCAAAGAAATTTTTTATTTATTTACCAGGCGCTGTAATACCCAAAAGTCCAAGGTCACCAAGTTTTTTCCAGAATTCCTAAAAGAAACAAAACTATGACACCCTGTTTTCAAGGATAATGGAATTTCAAAACTTACGCGAAGCTTCGTGAATGAATCGCCACGATCAATAGCATTAGCATACGGCGCTAATTCTTTTTGTGCAAAATTAAATACAGTTTCTCGCAACTATCGTCATGAAATATTAATATAAGTGAAGAAAATAAAGTGGAGATTTTTAAACCTGTTTTTGATCGTCTGTAAGCCCATAGATATCATCATTAATAGGATAATACTGTGTTGATGATTGTAATCTTTTAAATATTTGTACAGATGGTACTAATCGATGTTTATTTAGATGAATTAATTGTTTCCACATTTTAAATGTTTATCTAAAAAAAATATTAAAAAAAATATTCACTCAATTTCAACATCATCAACTATGTTTTTATTATCAGTTTTCCATGTGCCATTCAATTGATAATAGACAATTGAATGTGTTTCTTTATCAAACCATTCCGGCAGATCTTTATAATATTTTAAAATATATAAAGCAGTTTTTTTCATATTGATTATAAATGATTCTAGTTCTTGTGCAGGTGATGTTGATGTTGCTGCGAGCAACTGCTGATCATCATGAAAATAATATCTACGTAAAGGCTTATAAAAACGTTCAACTGCACTTTCTTTTATGAAAAATCTTTTAATTGCAATTGTTCCTTTCAATGATGAATAAATGCACCATGCCTTTTCACTATTCGCTGATTGATAAACTGTACGTAAACGAAATGCTGGTCCATTATCAATAAAATTCATTTTACGAATAGTTTTTGTTTGCACATCAAAACAAATTCCATAGACTTGTGGATAATGGATATTGTTGATTATGTGATCATTATACATGGTTACTGCTGCAAGTTTAAGATGACATGAAATATTGGGTATTTTAGAAAATAAATTGAGGATTTCGTTGCTTAAAGTTCGAGAATGTTGTTTGCCTGAGTCATCAAGAAAACCACCTAGAATATTTTTACAAATATTGAAATAAATTTAGAAACAAACAAAAGACAAATAACAGGCGTTTTGAGAAATGAAGACATAACTATATTCTGTTGCTGCATAAAAGTTTTTACCTACAACTGTATTCATCTTTCGAAAAATATTGTCTCTTGTTTTACTCATCGTGCCGGTTGATCTCCGATACAAAATCGGCCAAAATACGTATTACTTCTGAACAATTGTTAGTCCCAACTACTGATCATACCTACCAGTAAGATAAACATCATAATCTGTGGTGTGCGGTGCATAGTTTTTTAATTCTTTTATCATTTCTTCAATACTCTGCTGTGTTTGAACTCCATCTAAATGCGCTAAGGCAACCGCACTATGATTATCCAATACAAGTATATGGCATGTTGTTGCATTATCACTTCCAACTAAATGAAAACCATGTGGATCATTATTTGCTATAACAGCAAATTCACGCTGATAAACATAAATAGTTTTTGATATTTCTTGTCTCGATTGTTTAAATTCCTGTGATGAAGCGAAATCACGCGAAGAATTAATCAGGTCTCGATGTTGTGCGAGATCGTCAAGTGAACATTGCTTTGAATAAACATGATTATCAATTAATAAAACCATCTAAAATAACGCGCTTCTATTACAAATAGAGAAAGTTTTTCTTTGCTTGGCTTTCTTTCGAAAAAATGATTACACACACACGCACGCACACGCACACAAATATGTATACATTTATTTATATTTAGTTTAATGTATTCGTGCAAGTTCTTCAATTATTTTGACTAGTTCTTCAACTGTTGTATTTATTGGAATATTATTCTCTCCCTTCAAATAAAGAAAAAATAATAATAAGATCCAAGTTAAATTGAAACATATAACATACCTGCAAATCTTTAATAAGCTCTTGTTGTACTAATTTTGGCAAATCAAGATAGGTTTCGATGAGATCACCATCAACGAAACCACATGAAACATCCGAACGTCCATCAGATTCAAATCCACGCCATGCGCCATGATCGACTTTACCAACACTGGGAACATGTTCAGCTAACGCTAATTGTAATGACATAAGCAATTGATAGAGTGGTGCCGTTAACTGAAGAAGTAGACCAATATAGCCTGAAACACCGCCCATTAAAGTACAGGTCTCAAGTGATATACTCGATTCAGCTGTTTGTTGAGTAACAAGACAACCTAAAATGATCCGATGAAAAATAAAAATCGAAACTCTGCATAAAAAATTGATTTACCGTGTCGAAACACGTTAATATTTTCTCCTAAATGGCATAAACCAAGTTCTTTTAGTACATTCCGTTCATTCTCTTTCGTTGAACCACTATCTTTATGACACGATATTAAATTTCCTCCGTCTTCAGCACATATAAATGTATCATCATCGAAAAATTCGCATGCCGTTGACCATTGTGGATGAACATCGTGAGCAATCTAATAAATAAAATAACTCACTCGAATCGATTAAATAAAAATCATCTTTTTTTCTCACTTCTTCAAATTTTCCCTCGTCAACATTATATCGTAGCACAGTTATCGATTTCATTAAATCGTTGAATAAAACAAAATCATCTTTTATTTTTAATTGTAAACAATCGATATGTCCTAAATACTGTGTCAATTGAACTAGTTCATGATTTTGTGATGAAAGTTTGTATAAACGAATCTAAATGTTTTTCATATTCAAAAACCAACCGGAAATAAGTTGCTTCTCTCTTACCGAACTTCCAACAGCAACAAGAAGTTTGCCTTGAAATGCTAACATAGCATGTGGCGCAGCACTCAATTCTTTTTCTGTTATCATATTTAGATGACCATTTTTATAGCGATATAAAATAATACGGCCAATCTTTGGTGTATCTTCATCTTCAAAAATAATGGCTGTACCAATAGCGATGTAAGGCGTTGAAAGATCATCGGCAAATGTTATGGTGCAAACACTAAGAGGTTCTTCACGACTTAATAATCGAACTGATATACGAGCTTAAAACAAATTTAAAGTTATTCAAGATAAGATCGTTTTTCTATTTCTTGTAAATATTTTCTCGGAATATCACGAACTGTCGCAAAGAAGGTAACACTTTTCCTATTCTTTACCTTCATGTGTATGTTGATCTAAAATCACAATTGAATCAATGACATCAGTTTGTGTTGCAGATAAAACGTCATTAATATTTTTTATGGTTGTTGTACAATCAATCTTTTGCTGTGCATGTTTACTAATAGGCGTAATACCATTTGATTGATACATATCGAGATATTGTGTTAAAATAATATATGCTCTTTCATCTTCCATGAAGGCAATACGTCTTGCTGGTTCGCCTAATCTTAGTGAGCGTACATGTAGCTTTTGTATATCATCAATTCGACCAAGTATAACACCCATATCAGTCACTAATGTTAAACTGGCTCCATAATAATCCGAATTAAATGAACACATACAAACAATTTCACGTAAGTTAACTGCAGAGAAAACAAGCTTTGAATTCGATGATGATATCACCGATGGACGATCACTACATGCAAATAGAACTGTACGTTGCGTCGATGGATCATTTGATGATGATGATGTAGTCGTAATGGGTGATATATCCGTACGTTGGCATATTGTTAAAGTTGTTGGTTTCGTACCCAGCGCAACTTTTTTTCGTTCATATAGAAGTCCTTGTACAGTATCAAGTAAATAGTAGACGATGGGGCCATCAGCCAACGAGATGACTACGTAGGGTTGAGCATCAAATGCTATCATTACAACTGACCGTGGCAATGTGTCTAAATAGAAAAAAGTTCAACAGAATAGTCTCAAGGAATATGTAACTAGGGATTTTCACAATCAGTATAATTTTAGGAGCACTTATAAAATTGACATGAATGATTATAACTCATTAACAGCGATATATCATAAGGACAGATATACGGCATGGCTTTTTTTAAATTACAATTTTCTGATTCCCGATCATAGGACTCTCCAGATCAAATAATAAATATGAAAATAATATTCTATCCGATTTTTTTTAATATAACAACACTTCTGGGGCTGCCTTGCAGATGTCTCTATCTAAGAAAAAGCTTATTTCATCTCACCTGATGTCAATGGTTCTTTATGTAAAACTTCAAGTGTTGGCAATCGATACATCCAAACAGATATTTGTGTCCAAAGACCAACAACACAAAGACTCGAACGTTCTTCTTGAGGATTTAATGGTGTGACATCCAAACAAGCGATATTATATGGTAATTTACATTTACTAGAAAATAAACAACGAAATAAACCCTTGGCTTTCTCTCTCGTTAAAACAAAATTTACTTTATTTCGCTCAGACTACCTCGGCCGATTTCAAAATAAAATAATTGATTGCCACTTGCGCATACACATTGAGTTGTATTCGACGAACCAACAGTTATTTCGTGTTGCTCATTAGTCCATTCAATAAGTAAATCTTTACCATTATTGCCAATTAAACGAATTGAATGTGTCGTTATCTAATCAAAAACAAAATTGTCTTCCATGTTTCTTTATTTAGAAAATCAAAAGGCATTTACTTGTAAATATTGATCTGATATAACATTGGCACAAAATAATGTTTGATGTTGAAAATCAAATCCAGCTAATTCAACTTCTTCAATTTCATCATTTTGTAAATGAAATAATCTAAACAAAAAACATAGAATGTAATGACATGCCAGCAAATTTCGCACCTTGTTTGATCAAAAAAGGCAACAACAAGATGATTATCATAATGATTGTCTACTTTCAATGCCCATATTCCTGAAAAAGCAAAAATCTTTATAGGAAATCTTTAATAAAAAAAATGAACCTTTAATATTTCGCAAATCAATCGATGCATGTTCATGAATACCAATACCGGTTCGGATAAAACGTAACGATGAATCTTTTCCATTACCCGAACATGTTATCAACTAAATCAAACAAAAAAACAAGATTCAACCATCAAAATAATATTTTATTTTCTTACCTGCCGTCCTTGCCTTTCCAAATCGACAACACACATATCAACAATAGGCCCAAGATTTGTATAAGATTCAAGTATTTCCAAATGACTACCATTTTCTGGCTCAGGTAGAAGCTAAATTCAAAAAACAAAAAGAATAGTAAATCAATGAAATGAATCTCTTGAAAGAAAAATCTACTCGTATAAGTTGACTATCACCAAAACGTGATCCAATAAAAGTAACGCCATTATCTAAATAAGTTATAAATTCACACATTGATGTTTCACCGAGAAGATCCAACTAAAAAGAAAATTATTTCTATTAGTTACAAAATTTTTCTCTATGCATTACTTTCATATCGGTGATCGTTGTTGATGAACTTCCGTTACGTTTATCGCGTTCAAGTACGAGTAAATACAGTTTACCTGAATAGTCAGTTAATAGATATCGACACCCATCGTCATCAATAGGGCAATAGCCAATTATAGAAGCTTCGTCCTAGGATGAAAACAAAATTATAAACAGTTCGCTGTTTGCTTCGTATTTGTATACTCAACGATCAAATTTTAGAAATATTAAAAATATAGCAGCGCAAATTCTTCAGTCAAGTCCAGGAACTATCCAACAATTCTAACGTAAGCTCTAAAAATCTTGGTCAATTTTTGTCAACCGATAGTGACAGAGTCAAAAGATTGCGACCTTTTTTCTGAAACCAACTATTCATCTATAAAACTCTCCTGTCTATATTGAGATTTAAGTCAAACAGCACACTGCCGATTCTTTATCTAGATGTAAAATTTAATAGATAAGCAATGAATTTAATTACATCGAGTAAAGATGATTCGATTTCTAATGGCCGATCATTTTCTTTATATAATGCCACCGTATTTCTTCCTATCACAAGACAACTGAATGTATCGTGTCCAACTAAAATAAGAAAAACGAAATGATAAAACTCGTGTATGAAAAACTTTTCTTTTCTAATTTACTCGGAACAATAAATGACGCTTCACTTAATGTCATATCCTGTTTCCAGCTTAGTTTTGCAATATCTTTTTCTTTTAATTCAACTTGATATGTGCGTAGATGATGTTCTTCAGCATCAGTATTAACTATTGATGTATCAGTTGTGCGCTAATGAGAAAAAGAGAGAGAGAGAGAGAGAGAGAATATATGTATTCAATATTTGAGCCACATGTTTACTAAATGTAAGACAGTGAATGTTGGCTTTTGATGTCCAGGTAAAAATTGTATATCAATAATATTTTGCTCGTCAATTCTAAGTAAATTTTTGTTTTCAAAATAGATGATAGAATGACTTTTGTTTTGTTCAACCTACTTAACATTATATGCTTCGAGATTTTTCGATGATGATTCTTTTGAAGATAATTCTTTTATATAGATTAATTTAATGACTCCTTCAAATATTCGTAATAGAATAACTCCATGTTTAGCATCAATCGTACATAACGGTTGTCGAACTGCTTGCCGACCTGTGTCCTACAGAGAATTTTATTGTTAGAGGAATTCGTTCGGTTAGAAAGCTATAATTTACTTTTAATAATCCATGACATTTAGTTAATATTTCATATTGATCATTATTTGTTTTTCGACAGTCTAAGATCATTCCGTGACATTTATCAGTAAAAATAAATAGAACATCTTTATTCATATTCTATATTGAACGATAAAAAAAAGTTTTTATGAATATTTTTTGCTTTGAAATTTCTTACAGATAGTCGGAAGCATTTGATAACACTGATTTTTCCGTAAACACAAACATCTTTAACTAATTTAAGACCTTCTGAATTGATAATATAGATTTCGAAATGTGTATTTTTAGCAATAATTAAATTAAAATCATTTGCAGATGTAAAATGGCCGGTTGCTAAACCTGTTACAGCTGTTGGTCGTTGAACTGTAACAACATAATTCATTGCAGCCATTTGAAAAATTCAATCAGGTTTTTTATTTTACAGTTTACACTGTGATCGCATAAGAATAGTCAACAAACGAATGATTTTTCACCATTGGTGTCAAAACAACACTAATAAAAAACCAGCCGGCAGAGGGCACTGCTGGTATTATGTATGTTTGACATTTGTGTCGATCCAGGGCAAGCAATCAGATGTTAAGATTAAGATTCTGCATCTGATCCTATATGATAGTGTAAAATCCGACAAAAAAAACTCATAAGAACATCTTACATCAAGTTGTACGATCAGATTCTTGAGAATTTTACTGTATAGGAAGATATAACTCTAAGATTATAGAAAATCTTACGAAATGGTAAGATCTTTCAGGCGTTTCATTGTAAGACATAATGTAAGATTTCAGAGACGACGATTTTTTTGTACGATCCTATCTGATTTTTCGATCTGGATGTCTATATCGATATAGGCGTATTTTCTGGGATCTGATCTGTTTGAACAGTTCTGTAGATCGGAACTAAAACTGAACTGTCATATCCCTAGTTTATTAAAGTTACTAATTATTAAAATCCCTATTTTCTCTTATTGGCCTAATTTTCATTTAAAATATTGTATTTGCTTTAATCTGGCCTCGGATTTGTCCTATATTTCCTATATTTAAAAAAATTCCTATTTTTTCTCCTATATTTCGATGAATTTTCCTGTATTTCCTATAAAAATGATAAAATGTTTAAAATTGCTAAAAAGCGCTCTTGTTTTAGTATAATTTTCGTGTTTTTTAAACAATTCTATTCGATAATTATTGATTCTTTTGTATTCTTAGACTTTTTTTTACAGGGACTCTATTTTATTTACGATTTCTTTTCACATTATCAAACAGACTAAATGAAAATAACTGACTATTTTAAGTAAAGATATTCAAACAAAGTAAAATAGTCTTTATAAATAGTTGTGTGTTTTTTAAAAGCTTTTATTATTGCCTATCACATGCCGTTACGTAAATGGTTTTGTTCAAGCGTAACGCTGTGACCTTTTTTGACACACTTTGTTTTTCATTATCTTTGAAATTGAGTGAGTTAGAAAGTTCATTCAAATGTGATTTGATGCAATTTGTCATGATATGCTTATGCCATAAAATAACTATTTTTGGATTAAGTTTCTTGGCTATAGAGAGGAGTTTTGGTTGCTTGACTGTGACATTAAAAAAAAACTTTTCTTCAGGGCCACTAATAAGCTGCAGTTTCTTCTGCAACTATTTCTCCAAGTGAAACACTTCTCGAGTTAGTCTTGTGGTGCTTTTTGACCAGACTTTAAAACACTAAAATCGTTTTCTCCAAGCAATTTTTGCTTAGATAAAAAGTGTAAGAAAACAACGTGACATTTTTAGTAACGGTGAGGTACAGTTTTTCTTCACCAATTTTGAAGCACTTAACATGACCAGAGTTATTTGATTTTTATTAGTAAGAGTCTTGTCTTTGTAACTAATCGTTATACACAAAAACGAAACTGATACATCTGTATGGAAGCTCATAAATGGTAAATTGAGTTAGCAAAGTGTATAAGAGTTTACATTGTTCTTAGCTACGAAAGTCAAAACAAAATAGGCCAACTTGTAGAGACTGAAATTCTACAACTAACGATCTGTCATTGATATTTTTTGAAAACATTTCTTGGTTAAAAAACTCAAAATGCGATTTTTGAAAATTTCCATACTCGCGGTGTGTGTGCGGGTTGATGTGAGCATAAACACAATACAAACCATTACCCACACCCTGATTTATTTTGTATCAGTGATGGGACTGGTTCGGTTCGGTTCCAAATGTTCGGAACCGATTTCTTTTAGATATATATTCTAATCTATTTTTTAACTTGTTCACTAAAAGTGAATGAACAAAGTATATCTATATCGTATGATGGAATATAAACGAGTAAACTAATTCATCAATCATTTTGTTTATTTTATTCAAAAATATTGTGAAGCTGTCGACTGCGTTCAAAAGGTCATTATCAACACTAAATTTAGACGAAAGAAAATCACATATAATATATAGAACAATTTTTATTTTTCGTTCTATTCTGCACATTGTATTACGAAGGGGAGAAATTCGTTTCCTCGGTGCGATGTTCATAACAGAACAAAAAATAAAAATAAGAATAAAAATTGTTGTATGAATTATGAGTATTTCTCTTTCATGTCAAATTAGTGCTGATNATTAGTTTATTAATATGTAAATAAACATATTTCGATTGAATTTAATTGTGTCTGACTCATTTAATTTAATTTAAGAAAGAATTAAAATGAAATATTGACAAAAATTTCGTGCATATGTTAAGTTGATGCAGGAAAAATTTAAAACAACGTTTAATTCGAATCTAAACAACGAATTTTCAATATCCTGTTTTTTTTCCTGATATTTTACACCTTTTCCTGTATTTTTAAAAAGTTTGATCCTGTGCTAATTTCTACATTTTCAAAAACTTGCAATCCGAGGCCAGGCTTTAATTTGTATCGAATATGCTTTCCATTAGTCAGGCTTTGCTGGCATTTTATTCAAAATATGAAGAAATACAATGTTTGATTTAACAAAAAAGGCGCTATAAAAGTAAAAACGCACTATTGACGTTTGAGGATATTTAGCTGTCGAGGATTAACTGGTCCACCAATCCAAATATTGTCTATATTAGCATTATCAACAGTTTTCACAGCTGTTTTCAAGTAAAGTCCATCTTTAGGACCATAAACAGTTTCTGCATCTCTTAAAGTACGGATAACTTTGACCAAATGAGCATCTTCAGCTAATTTTGTATTCACTGTTTTTTCGATAACATAATCCCAAGTTTTTACACCAGCATCAATTTTGTAATTGTCTATAAGACCTTTATCGATTTTAGGTCGGCATTGAGAAATATAAATCATATTTGCAATGTAGAAGAATTGCCAAAGAATATTCTCGGGTAGCTGTTGTTCATTTAAATGTACATATATCATACGAATAGCATGCATTGATGTAAGCAAATGAAGAAGAAAGAAATCGAAATCGATTTGATCCGGTTTGTGTGTAGCACCGTAAAGGTAAACGCTGAAGTCAAACAAATCTTCAATAGTTTTTTCAAGATTATTCGTATTAATTTGCCATTGGTCGAAGTACGATAGAACGATATCGACTGATTCTTTGACAGTCGCTTCTAGATTACCAACTCCTGGTGCATCAAATAATGGCAATCGATCGTCTGCGCGAAGATTGTTGAAGATTTCTTGAAAAGATTTTGAACCAGCTTTTGGTGCTTTTAATTTGTCGATAATTTCATGATGATAGTTATAGCCCACTGCACTTAGTGTCAATGCTTCCGAGGCGACTTCGCGACTGTTTAATTCTAATGCATATCCAACATGAATAAGAGGATGTGCCAAACCACTGACGAGACTATTGATCAATGGTTCTGGTTTATGATCATTCAGTAATTCGAGGAATTTCTCACACCATTTATCTCCGCTAGTTTTTAATTGTTGGTCGAAGAAATCTCGATATGCCTTGCAGAAGCGTTCATCGCCGAGTGATTGTCGCCAATTGGCACTTGTTATTTCATGAGGTGAAGGTTCGTACGGAGCATTTTCTTCACACATAATTTTGGCGAGTTGTTCGAGTCGTTCATCACTAGCACCTAAACAACGAAGAGATGCTAAATGGTGGGCAGTGTGTGTATGAAAGCCACGATGATCTAGAACTTGATAGCGAGCATACGAATCGGTCAAAAGTTTATCAAGCACAGTACGAGACATTGTAGAGAAACAAATGTAGAAAGTGATGTATGTCGAGTGTTAGCTTTGTATTGTATATACAGCTATTCAGTTATGTAATCATATACAAAATTTTGCCTCGTCATTCATTTTTTTCTGTTCTGTTTATTCTCTACACATTCTATTCTTTTCTCTCCTGACGAAGCAAGAAAACCACATGTTACTCTTTTTTCCTTTTCTTTGATTCTTCTTGTCCGATGCAACTATGCTAATATGAGTCATTTTTTTTCTACTTGGCATCCTAGTTGACCCCAAGCTCAACGTATTAGAGTACACAATGACTGTCCATCGAATCAAAGTCAAGCAATTCAACATTGTACCGTCACTATGATTTTTCTATAAAAAGCAAAAGATGGCACTGTTTAGTATTACGATCAATAAGAACCTTCCGATCTATCTTTGTTATTCAAAGTCCACTAATTTTTCATCGGCTTTCTTCTTTATAATATGAATAGAACCATCAAAGAAACTTTTTCAAATCTATATTTTTTGCAAGACTACGAAATAAAAACACTGTATTATATTATGAAAACAACAGCAAAAAAATAAATTGATATGTTTATTATACAATTGAAAATAAATAAAACAATTAAGTTACACACACATAGGTGGATTGACAAAACCAAAAACATTTAGTTCAATTAATAATGAAAAAACAACGAATATTGCATAGACAGCCAGAAAAAACATACCAAGAAACCTATCTAAATACCATCTTCTACCATGAATACTCATCACCTAAAGCAACAACAATACATTTTTAGACTAATAAACAAAAAATTTCATTCTTCTCTCTTACCGTTATGATAACAATGCCAAGTAATAATACCGCATCATACAAAAGCCCATTGGAATTAATATGCACTGGTTCACCACTAATTAATATCTTTGCAAACCATGGTAACGCGAGACCGACAAGTAAATCAAATACATTCGAACCGAATGTATTCGATACACCCATATCCACAAGACCTAAAAAAATCGAGGTTTTTTTTGTTGTCGTATGATTTCACTTAACTTTAGATTATACCTTGACGAACAACTAGAATACTGCTAAGTGCATCCGGAACGCTGCTACCCGCTGCAAGAAATGTGATTCCCATGATACTGTCAGGTATGCTAAATGTAAAACCAATTATTGTCACCATCCAGACCATGAAATAAGTTAATATGGTTAACCAAACAATAGTCATGGCGAATGTTAATGGATACCATTTAAAGAATCTATTATTGATTGATTAGAAATTGATATCAAGTAACTTTAACGTATTTACCTTGGTCTTCGACAATCAGGAATCGTATAGTAGAACATTATTCTAATTGGTACGGCAGAAGCCCATTTAATAAATCCAATAGGATTATAATTATAATTTGGAATTATTTTCCAATGGTCATACGTTTCATCGATTGCTAATAGGCTAAAAATGAAAAGAGAAACAACTGAATGAGTTTGAACTGAAAGTCGGACCACTATAATACCTGGGTGTTCGACCTTGATAAAATGAAAAGCGTCGCTCGCTGCTAGGCTTTTCTGGACGACTAATACCTCGTCCTTTACGTGATTTTGCCTATAAAATAATTATATATTTTTCTTTAGCCTGTTAAAAACTTGAGCTTTGATAGAATCCTACTTGACTGATAACAAATCGAACAGCCATTTTAAATCTTGTCCGCTCGGGAAAACGTCTCGTCATCATGATTCGTATTGTTGTTGTTTCAAAATCCATCGAAGCCAGATCATTCATTGACATTCTCGTTGAATTCATTTCTTCTTCGAAACGCTCTGAAAGAATTTCAAACGACAACATCTTTATCAACTTTTTCGGCAGTGAAGGGAAAAACTAACGATAATTGCTATTCATGCCATAATTTCTCTGTGTTTGAGCATAATTCATAATTGGTTCTTCGACAGCATTAAACGATTGAAATATTTGCCATCGTTGAACAATGAATCGTTGTAAATTTTGATTATTACTATTAGAGACAGAATGAGTATAGGAAAACAAAAAAGCTTTATTTTTCATTCATACCACATAATTATAATATAGACCACGTAGATAAAAAGAAGAAATCCCGATTCAAATAATGTTATTCGACCATCGGATAAACACTATTGATTATATATGAACATATATATTTATTTTTTTGTTATCATAAAAGAGACTCACCAGAATTAGAACGATGATTGAAAAGGCATAATAAACTGAATCTCGACATAATGGCCTATGTGAGAAAATATGTTAGAGACTTACAATTAGAATTAAAATTGAGAATAGACTCTGTTAGACATGGAAGCTCTTCCGAATATTTGATAATCAGAACTCAAAATAGTGATACAATTTTTTTTTGAAGATGAGTTTTGCAATCATTATGATATGACGATGCATTCGACTCGAAAAATACAGCTCTTCCTCTCTGTCCAAATTTTCCTAATAGTTATCTGACGTAATAAAATTATTGTTGGGCTCTTCTATATATGAAAATCCTATATAATAGTCTTTGATTGAATTTCAATTCAGTACATATCAACTACGTACCACCAAGTCAGTCGAATAGCCTAAAATGAGAATACTCATTACTTTCGGTGAATTCAACTTTCAATCTTACTCCATTAACAAACAATCCACAAATGCCAATGACGCATACAACATTAAAAACAGCCGAGCCAACAATTGTGCCGACACCTACATCACCTTTAGCCACAAAAATACCTAAAAATGAAAAACCATCATAATTCAGCGTCAATCCTAATTTGGCAACAATATACCGATAAGAGCAATAAAAAGTTCTGGTGACGATGAACCGCCAGCCATGAACGTTGCGCCAGCAACATCTTCATCAAGATCTAATGCCTATTAATATATATTCATGGAAATCAAAAACTAATTTGTCAAAACTCTCGTTCTTTTTCAGTGCCTGCGAGGAGAGTGTAAATATCTGAAAATTAGTTTTATCACGTTTCAATTTCTTTTTTTTTTAAATTTTGATATAGGATTCATAGACTAAAATCTTACTAACTCAGACATTCGAAACAGATCGGTAATAAAATATATGGAGTAAACGAATTCTAAAAGTTAGACTCATCAATTTTGTTCGTGTTTCTAAACTTCTTTAGTCTCGTTAAACACATATTTTGTCAAAATTCATTATTTATTAATTAGCGAAACATCTTCAGCAATAAAATACTTACTGCACAGAGTTTGTCGAGTGCCGCAATAAAATAATCGTCAACCACAATAGCAATAGCAATAAAATTATAAAAGCAAGCAAACAAATGAAATATTACAGCTCCCTATAAATAATTTATTAAAACATTAATGAAATAATAACACAGATTTACATACGTGACTCCGTTGAGATTGAGTAAAGAGATCGTCGGGAAATTCACCAATAGCTTGAAAGAAGAAGAAGAAGAAGAGGAAAATTCAGCAGTCGATTTTTTAATTTTCTAATTACAACTTCATAGAGGAGTTAAAATAATGATAAATTACCTGGTTCAGTACAATTTTTTAATTGTCCTGGCTGCCAACTAATTGTTGTTGACTCTGTGGCAGCCGTCGTAGTACGAATTGTCGATGTTGTTTCATCATTGGTTGATGCTATATAAATGTTGTAATCATAATTTTCATTCGAATAAATTCTACATGTTTATATCTAACAAAGACAATAATTTCTATACCCACCATTTGCAATAGATATTTTTTGTGGTCGATTTTTCAAGCTAAATTTCCTATTCGGCGCAGCATCACTTAATCGAAATTGATGTCCAATAAAATGAGCCAAAGCAAGACCGACAAGAATTCGAATAAAAAATTTGACATTATGCCGATTGATAATTTGATCTTTGACAGATCGCTTGTGCTTGAGCAAAGTCGATGAATCTTGAATCATAATTCTGTTGAAGATTTCTTAATCTAATGAACATTAGCTATATAGAGTTTATACGACTATTCTTCGTTGATGCATTGCTTTCTATTGATAGCGAGAGAATTAGATGGAGAGAGGAAAAAAAAGAATTGGGGAACTAAATTCGAGAAAGATAAAGACAAGATTCTACAGAAAGAGATGATAAAAAGAAAACTACTACTGCTACACAATTAATTACTACAAATAAAGGGAAATGAACTAAGAAAGAAGCCTTTCATCGGAAACAAACAGAATGACAACGAGAAAATACCGGAAAAAATGTCAACGACATGAGGATAGATATACAAAAAGCCTCAACTGGATAATGCGATAAGGAAAAGAATGTCGATAGTGATCGGCATATTGACTAGGAGTCGTGAGGGGAAAAAAAGTAGGTTAACATCGAACAAAGAAAGAAAGAAAGAAAGAAAAACGAGCTCGGCAAATACATAGTCATCGATGTAGTATTGTCTTCTTCTATTCTTATTTATCTAATTTCGAATTCTGCTAACTAAATTATGTGTTTTCTTCTGTGAAATTTCTAACCAAACAATGCGAGTAGAATAATGAACATATGCATACATTTGCGCTAGAAGCTAATAATAGACATTCATGAATAATATGCCATGAAGAAATGACTCGGATTGTGTGTCATCTATTTAGCACATAAAAGAAATCGTAACTTCAGTAACTGAGAGGAAACACAAGAAAAAAGTAGAAGATCCTTATTATTGATTCAATAGAGAAAGTAAAATCATTAAAAGTCGACACAATTGAGAGTCATTTTCAACCGATGCCATAAAAAAAAGTTTTATCTTTATCATATTGAACAGATAGAAGACTTCGATTATTATCGAGAATAGTTTTTTATTAAAATTTTCATTCATCAATAAAAATCCCTGCGGAGAAAGCCAAGCTATATATTCGACTCATAGTAACATAATCTAGTTATCAGTTCCAGAGTTATTTTTATAAACTATAGTCAAATAAATGGAATTATTCGCCACATATAAAACTAATCAACAATATTGATCAATTCTGTAGCAGGGATCAATATTATTGTAATACGATTATTTCGTTGCTTTTTACGAGAGAAAATTACAGAAGAAGAATAATAGAAATTGAATCGAGTCAAGATTTTTATCAACTATTAAGCCAAATTATTTACAGAGATTTCGAAATATTTATTCGTAGGAACTACAACAGAGAGAAAGTATAAAATCTATTTTTGTACGTTATGATTATCAAAACAAAAGAGCGAAACGACTATAAGAACGAGATCCATTTGACAGTAAATTAGAATGGAAATAAAGTCCGAAGGCAACGCTGATTTCCGTTTGTTTGCTTTTCTCCATCTTCATTATTCAAAATAACTGTAATCCAAACGCATAAATAGAATTTTTTATGCAAAGAAGAAAGGCAGGGTATTCTATCTTGAGTACATAAGAGATTTGATTGAAGAAAGATTTCACGCCTACGCTTATAAATCTTTCTTCTAGCCTCTCTTTGAAAATCCATAAAGTAAATCAGATTGCTTGAGTTTGAGACTTTTATTTATTTGCCGCGCTACGTGATTTCATTGATTTATTTCGAATAAAGACAAGATGATGACCAATAGTTATTATATTGATCATTGTACATAGGCGTAAGAGTCTATGATGAGACAATAAACGAAAGTATAAGTTATGTTTTGAGTTAAACAATGGAGTAATTACAATCAGATTTTTCTCTCCATCGAAAAAATGTTTGTAGTGGTTTTTCGCACGGATGAATAATAAAAAATTGTTAAATCATCGGAAGCCACTATTTTTTTCTCGATAATACGATTGACAATTGATGCGAAAAGAACCTCTTGTATAGAATCTGATAGTTCGAATATTTTTGTAATAAGAATTTCATCGACGTTTTTCTCGTACAATGATTGATGAGAATGTAATAGTAAACATATAGAGTAAGTTACCTTAATAGCAACATAAAAAAAAATGGCACGACTTGATTGATTCGGTGTACAGCTATTTTACATCTAATTGAAATTATTCTTACATGTGCATAATCCTTGGAGTGTCCTCTTTCGAATAGTGAAACAACCACATTTAACTGAGCTGTAGTGGTCGAGAAATCAGTGCTCTACGATGAGGACCTACATCTGTTGTTGTTAGGGTTCATTTCCCTAATGACAACAGTCAACTCATTTTTGACCCTAATAACAACACTAACAAAATTCAAGCAAATTTATCTTTTTCAAATAAAAAGACATTTTTTTCACATTTCCTGTAAGAGATACAGGAAGTGTGTCTGTATTAATTTCGTAGAGCGTGTCGAACTCTCCTATCGATCAAGGGTTCATGAGAACTCAATGTTAGTTGGGGTGAAATAAATTTACTCAAACAAGAAAGTCTAAAATAGAAAATAAATTTTGTTCCTAATAACAACACCCATCTATTTTTTGAGTATAATAACGACGCATCATTATGAAAATAATATCAGATAATTTATTCATAAATAGTCTACCTTTTTATAATCGTTGTAAAGGGATGATAACAAACTCAACTAGTTGATTGTTGTTATTAGGGAAATGAACCCTAACAACAACAGATGTAGGTCCTTATCGTAGAGCACTGATTTCTCGGTCACTACAGCTCAGTTAAATGTGGTTGTTTCACTATTCGAAAGAGGACACTCCAAGGATTATGCACATGTAAGAATAATTTCATTCGGTTGTAAAATAGCTGCGCACCGAATCAATCAAGTCATGTCATTTTTTTAGTGTTGCTACAGGGCTGCTTACTCTAATCATATATCTGGTGATTTAATGCTCGTCGCACATGAGCCTAATTCTCTATCTCGAACATACACGTAAACTAAAAAACTAGCAATCTATTCCTTTTCTTAGTAGTAATTATTTTCTTTGTTTTTACTAAGAAAATAGAAAGAAAATCAGCACATATAAACTTCATTCTAAAAATCTATAGAATGGCTCATAGATTGCTGAAAAAACAAATCTCATTTTTTGAAAAAGATATTAACCAACAATCGGGCGTATACTCAAAACTAATTTAGAATTCAACAAATATAAGGTATCACTCCCAGTTCCTTCTAATACACATAGATTAACCACTATATTTCTCAATGATAGATGTATTGTAATAAAAAACAAGAATATCATTAATACATTCTATTACATTTTATTAATTAAATACTAATATTTTTTTATGAACACAATCAATAAGAATTAGCTGCATTTATTCTATAGAAATTTCACATTAAGTATCTTTCGTAAAAAGAAGAACAAATGTTTCTTTAATTCATCAGTATCGAGCGTCCTCTCTTCATTTGTCATCCACAAAGAGATCTAAGTACATGTTACGCAATGGTGAGTTGTGTATGTACGTGTGTATAGAAATATGTATAGATCATTTCAATGATCTATCTGTATTCAAAGTGTATCAGTTATTTCTAAATCGGCTATCAATCCCAGGTCAATGATTCCGGAGGACGGATACTGTAGGAACCGGCCGGAAAGATGCGGAAAAATCACCGTATCTGGCCGGAAAGCACTGGAAACTGGAAGCAGTATTCCA